TCATCCCATTTCCATGGGGCGGGGGGGGGGGCACAGGGCATCCCTACAGCTCTGGGTATCATCACTCATTTTTTGGGCTTCGCTTGGATTTACAAGCCTTTTTTCCCCAAACCTGCAGGCTCCTGGGAAAACGGGGAAGAGCCGGCCCTGGGAGCCACGCCGGCTTTGGGGACGCGACGCCTGGGCTGCCTCAGGATGCGGAGCTGGGGAGGCAAACTCACCCGGCGTCCTGTCAGTGTGCCCATGTCTGTACACAGGGGCTGGGGTGGGTCATGGGAACTCTTAACATCACAGTAAAAAAAAACCAGAATAACAAAAAAACAACCAACACCCCCCCCCTTATTCTGGCGATGGAAGAAGCTATTTGCGGGGTTGGAAACGGTCTTAGTGGACCTGACGGAGGTTGAAAGAGATGAGATGTGGGGCTGGAGCGTTTTGAAAAGGGAGCCACAGCTCCCTTTAGTGCTAGCGAGCCTTTTGTCTGTTGCAGAGAAAATACGTGCGTTATATACGTACATATATTTTTATATATATATTGCTGTAGGAGCGAATTTAAAGGCAGCTACACTCGCAAAGCTTTGCCCGTGATGCGCTGGGCTGGAGCACCTCATTTTCCCAGAGAAATCAGGGTGCTGCATCCCCATCAATGTCCTCCTCCTCGCAGGGCTGGAACCTCCAGCTTTAAGGGCAATCTGTGCTACGCAGGGGCAAATTATCCTCAGGTGGGACCTGCCTTACACCCCTCCCCAGGAGCTGGAACCCAAACTGGGGGGGCACCAGAAGCCCTCCCAGTTTCTGCTTGCATTTCTCCCCACGCTGCTCAGGAAGCCTTGAGCATAGAGCAAAGGAGGGACGCTTGCTCCAGCACGCCAAAATCCCCTGGATCATCATCAAAGAGGTTTTTTTGGCCGGTCTGGGAGTCCAGCTCCACTATTGTAAAAGCAGTGAGTGATTTTTATTACTTTTTTTTTTTTTTTTTTCTGGCTGCAGCGTGGGGGTAACGTGGCAACGGCAGCTTTTGTAGCTGTGCTCTGCTACTGACTAATGAGATTATTTTCTTTTAATGGATAAGCTTGTAGTTATTAATGCTTCTATTTGCCTTCCCGTCCCTGAGGTTTTGGTGCATGCTGATACACACTTTCCAGGTTTTTTCTCTGCAGGAGATGTGCTGCGTGCCTGCTCTTTTCTCATAGTAAAGGCCACAAATAAGGGTATAATTAAAAAAACCCCCATCTACGTATAATGAGACATGATTAACCTGTAGCCACTGGCAGTGCTAAATGGTGTTCACTACCCATGCAGGAATAAAAGTTGTCTTTTAAATCCATATTAAAACATATTTTAATATAAAACACTCATTAAAATAATACACAGAATAAATCTATGCAATAAATAAATACATAAATTCACTATATGGGGGGTAACAAATTGGCCAGGGATGACACCCGAGCTCCCTCCCCCTGAACAAGCCAGCCTGTGGGATCCGCTCTATTTTGTTAAGACTATCAATAGGCTTGGGTTTTTGACTCAAAAATGTGCAAAAATACAGCTGTTCCTGTCCAGATTCTCCCTTTCTGCATCTTTCCATCAGATGGGGGCCCTGGCAAAGGGACCCCTCTTTGGGCTTCACAGGGGTAAAAGGAATGGGTCTCGGCCAGGGTTTATTTTTCCCCCTCCTCTTATGGGTGAGTAGAAATCCCTGGAAGCTTCAATTCATGTGTCTTTATGTTTTTTCATACATTGAAAGGGGAAAATATGCCGAGAAGCCAATATTCCACTGGCATGTGGGACTGCAAGGGGAAACCTGCCGCAAACCCAGATAATCACCGCAGCTATCAGCAGCTTCAGGGCTGCATATTTTTTTGTTGTTGTTTTAAATAACCCCTTTTTTCCTATTTTCTCCCCCCAGCTGTGGCAATTGTGTGCAATATAAAATGTCAGATGTACCCAAGCCCCACGGACATCAGCTTTTCGAGTACCAGCTTGGGAGTATTCCCTAAGCATCAGTGAAAAGAAAGCGTGTTTTGGGGCAGGGGGGCGATATAATTTCTGTTTACCTAAGCAGGGGGTGCATGGAAGAGGCTGAGCTCAGGGAAGCTGTCGGTGGGCTGGGGCAAAAGCAATGCTGGGGAGGCATGTGCTGGGACAGGGCCACCGCAAATAGCTCTGACATAACGGCTCTTAAATTATTATTATTATTATTATTATTATTATTATTATTATTATTATTATTATTGTTGTTGTTGTTATTATTAATAATAATAATATTAATATAATATTTCCTTGTTTTTATCTCTATGATGTACCTCTAGCAGAGCCCCTCAATGAAACCGTTGGACCTTTGCAAAGAGAGTGCATCTGTGTTTCATTTTATAGCTGAAGAACAGTAATTAAGATGCTTTTGCGGAGCCAGGGCTTGGAAAACTAAAAATAAAAGCCATATAGGCGCAATACCAGACCTCCAAGCACCATCAACTTTCCTTTCCTTCCCCCTTCTCACCCTCCCAGCCCTCTCAGACCCCCGAGCATGGCTCGTTTTGGGGCCAAGTCCCCACTTTCCATCTCGAGGAGCAGAGTGGCAGGTCCAGGGTGTGCTGTGGAGGCAGGAATAATTTGCAGCCTGAAAGGGGATGGTGCAGAGAAAGGGGGGGGATTTTTGGCTAAATCCAGAGGAGTGATGCAAACGCTGTCCTGCACGGAGGGGAAAGCATCCCTGTGGGCATCAAGCAGAGGTTATCTAAAGCCTCAAAAATTGGGGACATTGTGCAAAACACCAGGGCTGGCTCTTTTTTTTGCAGCAAAGCATGTACAAACTGCAGTCCCTGGGGCTTGAAATGACTTTCTACTTCTCTTTTTCACATTTGACCTGTGAATATTGAAAGGAAAAAGAAAGATAGAAGCTGGGTTTTTTTTCTGGCCCCCCGTCACCTTGGGGTGCTTCTGGCCCCATGCAACTGAAAAATTAATTCTCCCCAGCTCAAACTGAAAGCACTGAAAGAGGAGACAGGGCTCAATGAGATTCACTCGAAAGCACTTGCTGGCTGGCCGGGGTCCTGTCGGAACGGTGACTGTTGGCTGAAGGATGAGCAAGGCTCTGCGGGACTGGGAAATGCTCAGCAGCTAATGTGAAGGGGCGAAAAATAAAAAAAAAATAAATAAAATTCAGTTTTACAGGCCAGTAATCTTAGTTTTAGCAGGAGGCTGATTAAAAATTGATAAGATGGTCAATGTGTACAGAGGGAAAGGTGCATCTGGAGGGATGCTGGGCAAGGCTAACCACGTTTGTGTTGCGCCTCGATGGGGAAAATATTACTGCCTCCCGCGCTGAGCCCCGGGGATGATGCTGGTGGGACGTGGGTGGTGCTGCCATCAGCGTCGTGCCCCCCGGGCGCGGGGTGGTCCGAGCCCCGCGGCCGTTCCCCGGTGCCGAGACGCTTTCACAGCCGCCTGGGTCCCAAGGATAGGGCCTGTGTATTTCTTTTGGATGCTGCAGCGGTGAGGTGGCTTTGAGCCCCGGCGTAGGTGCTGTTTTGGGGAAGGAGCGGTTAAATCGGTTTCTGCCTGTCACGGCGGGGAGCCCCTCACCCAGGCGTCTGGGCTGGCCGGGTGGCTGGTTTGTTTAAATTGAGGTGGTGCTGAACGCTTGAACTCCTCTGCAGTCCCACTGACCCGGAGTTCAACATCTGCCACAGCTGGGCTCTGTGTTGCATTACAGCTGGAAAAGAAGTTAGTTGTTTTTTTTTTTTTTTTTTTTTTGGGGGGGGGGGCGGGGCGGTGTGTGTGTGTGTGTGTTTATTTTTTGCTTTCCCGTTGGAGGGACCCAGCCACGCCGGCAGAGCTCTCTCCGCAAAACCTTGCAGCGTGGTTCCTAGAAGGAGAGCAACTTTTTCCCTCCTCTTTTCCAAGCCTTCACCGCTGATGGTAGGGGCTGGAAGCCATCCAAGGCTGTCGGTATAAATCTCGCTGACCTTGTTTCACCATCCTTTAACTTGCAGTTCAGCAGCCCCCATTAGCTGAGGCCGGCGTCGACTTCCACTTTCTGGCTCATTTATTACTTTTTCAGCTTGACGGTTCCATTTCCCAAGCTTGTCTGTTCATCCCTGGGTGGGCAGGGGGCTGAGGCAGAGCGGGGGGGGGGGGGGGGGGGGGACGACTCCTGGCCCCTAGAAACCTCCCAGCGAGGTTGCCAAGGCAAATATCTTGCAGGAATTTGGAGATGCAGCTCTAAGCAAGCGCTCGGCTAGCAGATGAGCTTTAGGGATGAGCCCCAGCCCGGCTCGTGGGAGAAGCGATGCTCAGAGGCGCAGCGCAACGCCGTCAGGCGGGATGAGGGGAAGATGCTTCCCTTTGGATCGGGCTGGGTGCAGGGCTCTGATCCCAGCAAACTTTGCCTGCTTGCCGTCAGGAGGACCCGTGCTCTGGTAGGGTTTGTGCTCCGTCACCACCGTTTCCCATCCCGACTGGCCCACCCGCTCCAGCGACCCAGCTCTCCTTTCTGGGACTTGGGAAAGGGCGCCGGGGTACCCGAGTCTTCCCCCAAAATCCACAGCATCGTGTGCTACTTGCTTCCTAGGTGCTGAATCCATACGAAGAACTTGGTTTTCCACCTGCAGCCAAGCCTCACCTTAAAAAATGGTGACGATGCCGGCGTGTTCGGGGCCTCGTGGAAGAACGCTGTCAGTCGCTGGCATTATCACTTGGCTTTGTCATATCACCCAGCGTCTTTGGTACGTTAGCAGGAGGGGTTTGGTGGCAGGATGTATCAGACGTGCAAACTTGCATCGATATTCTTCAGGAGCAAAGCTCGCAGTTCTGAGTTCATGCAGGGGTGTTGCGGGCGCTTGCGTGCAAGGGAGCCAGGGGTGTGCAAAGCAGGTGGGCATGGCTCTGCTCCTGCACTTCTGGAGGAAAAGCCCAGAAGGCTTTAAGTCGTCTCCACGGACCTTCGTGGAGGATTAGGGCACCTAATTGGATTTTATTCAGGGTGTGTTGCCAGCTCGGCGTGGCAAAGCGCTGGCCTCAATAGGGAGAGGTCAAAGGAGATCAGAGAATGTTGTGGAGGCGCACGGCAGTTATCTTTTGTGTAGGGAAAGGGCTGCAGGAAAGGCAAGAAAATCCAAGTAAACGGCACGAAAAGTCCTGGGTGTAAGCAGCTGCAAGAAATAGTCAGATAAAACAGGAGGAAAAACTTTCCAAGATAAGAAAAGCAAGACATGGGAAAAAAAAAAAAAAAAGAAAAAAAAGAAAATAATGTCCTTGGGGCTTGTGGAGGCTCTCTCCGTCTTTGGAGGTCTTAAAGCGCGGATTAGGGAGAGCTCTGCCAGGAATGATCCTGCCTCGGGGCAGCCGGAGACCAGATGATGGGCCTGTCAGCTCTCTGCCTCCAAGAGCAGGGCTTGTGCTTCTCCTCCTCTTCTCCCGGGTGAGCAAGGCATCTCTGTGACCCTCCTTGATGCTCTTCTAGCAGCACTCCGGAAAAAAAAAAAAAAAAAAAAAAAACAACAAAACCTTGGAAAGAGTGGAAATCTTGGAAAAGGGCTGTCTTTCCCTGCTTTGGCCAGGAGCTGCTTTAGCACGGGAGGGGAAGATGCTCAGGGGGCTTTTCTCTCCCCTTCTGCCACCGGCGCCACGGCAGTAACTCTTTTCTGGTTTAATCTGACGGCGGCTCTGCGTGTCTGAGGGATGAGGTCATGCTCGCTCGCCCGCGGGCCTGCTGATGCTTTTGCTTCGGTCCCTCTAGTTTGGGGAGGTGGGGGTGGGTGGGATCGCACTCCCTGCAGAGGCTCTGGGTCCCTGTGCGGGGCAGGGGGGTGGTTTGGGGGTCTCCTTAACTGCCAAGCATGGCTGCAGACTTTTGCCCTTCTCTGTGTATGGACGTGTGTGTGTGGCACCTTGGATGGGCACAGGTAAAAACCCTGGCTGTCCCCCCTGCCCATTTTACCTCTGCCTGGGATGCTAGTCCACCTCCCCCAGGATGCTAATCCATCTCCCCCGGGACTCCTCCTTGCTTCTTGCAGCTGCTTTTAAAAACACAAACCAAACCAAGCAGCTGGAGAAATGCTTTTTTTTCCTCCTTCTTCTTTTTTTTTTTTTTTTTTTTTTTTTTTTTTTCTCCCACTTTTACCATTTCTTGCCAGAAATCAGCCCATTGTGAGTCTTCAAATCTTTGGGAGGAGGAAATGTGGTGACCAATGGCTGGAGATACAGCCCTCGCTTCTCACTCTGGTAGATCCTGAGCTCCTGGCACCTAAACTCATGATACTGAGGGTAGCAAAGCCAATTTAGTTAATTGGTGGAGATTGCTACAATTTTATTAGACCTAATGCCCTCTCCCCTCAGGAGGCTTGCATGGCTGAGCAAAACGACCAGTGCCTATGAAGACACAAAATATAGACCCAATTAAGTTTTTTTTGTTTTGTTTTGTTTTGTTTTTTTTTTTTTTAAGAAATCCTTCCAGCCTGGCATGAAGGTTTTCCTAGCCCTCAAATTCAGGATTAATTGCACTTAGGGGTCAATAGCTGCAATTACTGCTGGTGGTGGAGGTTTGGGGCACGTCACCTGGGCTCTGGCTCCGACGGTGGTACCCAGCCGGGATGTGTAGAGCTTGGTCCTGCCACGCATCTCCCCAAGCTGGCCAGAGCTTTGTACTGCCAGATAAAAAATCAGGCTTTGGGAATACATGCTGGGGTCTCCTGGAGGGAATCGGAGTCTGATTTGGGATTTTAAAAGCAGCAGCTGTTGTGAGCTTTCTTCTCTGGAAGCTGGAAAGAAAAGCTGCTCCTCCCTGAACCTAGAGGTCACCTAATAAATGGGAAAGTCCCCGAAGAGATGTCACTGGTAAATCTCAGGCCTGAAGAGAGGAGAGCCTGTTGCATCAGAAAGCAGAATTACAAAGTGTATTATCGATGGAGGAAACGGGGGGTGGAGATAATAGCACTCGAGGAGGGGAAAACAGGAAAAAGCTCTATTTGAACTCAAAAATGGAAAGGAAAAGGTTAAGCCTGAAGTCAAGAAGGGTCGGGCAGAGTTAAAGGCCGGGAGGGGAAAGCTGGGAGACAAAGAGGAGAACAGATCGGTCAAGGCAAAGGGGAAGGACGGAAGGTAAAGGACAAGTGGGGAAGGAAAGAAAAGGACAAAAGAGGGGACAGAGGGGCTGGGGGGGGGGGCAGCAGGGGTTATTCTCAGCTGCAGCTGAAATGGGGTGTTGCAGGGCTTTTGGGGGGCAAGGGTGAATGTGCTGATGGGGAAGAGAAGGTGGGGTGTCCAGGTACCCGCCCTGCTGCCTTGGCCAAGTCCTCTCGGGGTGCGTGGGACACCTCTGCGCCGCTTCGGTCCCACTCGGGGCCACGCTACGGTGCAGCCGCTGTCTCTCTTCTCCTGTTCATTAATACACTAAAAATAATAGATATTAATTTATTATAAAAAAATTAAATGGTTGCAGATCTCAATTCAGCTTTCCCAGCAAGAAATAGCCCATAGTTGCTTTGCTTTTTCAATCTGCCCATCCTCTCTTTACTCTGGGAACTGGGAAGAAGAAGGCTGGAAAGAGCGATGACTTTTCCTTTTTAAATGGTGGTGTGTCGGGAGAGATAACACAAAAATCCACTTGCAGTGGCTGATTGTTTTAAAATTTCAGGCAGGTAAAACCAACGGGTAGGGCTGATGCCGCTGCCAGGGTGACAAAATAAACACCTCAGCATCTGGGAGGCCAAGAGGACCCCCTTAGGGGTGGTCTTCTCACCAGGCACAGCAAGTTATAGGGTCGGTAGCCCAAACCATTTCTTTATTACCTTCAGAAGGTCCGCACGGGGCAGGAATTGTGTGTCTGTTCACGGCCACTGATGTTCAGCCAGATTTACACTGCCAAAGCCAATGGTTTGGTAACGTCAGGGAAGCGTTAATGGTCTAGAGGGACTGGATGAGTTCATGGATCTTGGGGATGAAGAAATAATTTCTGCTTCTGCAAAAGAAGTAATTAAGCGATGTTTTGCGGAGCTGGTTCTTCACAACTAAAGTATGCTCTTTATTACGTGTTTCATCATAAATCTATTTAGTGATAATAAGGGCTTGTTCCAGCTTTAATACTCTAATGGGTGCGTATCTGCCTAAATCACCTAAAAGGCTTGGAGCACAAATTCTTTTTCTATCTTTCACGCAAAGAATCTCTTACATGGCACTTCTTGTGTTTAATTACCTATTGCACTAAGCAACAGAAGCATGCAAAGACTTAAATCGGGCAACAAAATCAGGTTTTCCAACTTGAAATCCTCTTTCTCTAGTTGAAGTAAGATTATTCATCTCTTTTCCCGGAGGCCTCTTGCGGCTTTACCTACAGGGGATTTTCGGTTGGATTATGATCACCGAGACCTCAGTCCCCTCTCCTCTCCTCAAAGCCCAACCCAATCACCCAGCTAGAAAGCAAGGCTCTTCACCCCCATCTGTAGCTCCAGAGCGATGCTCTGGCAGCAGCCGTTCTGCGTAACATGATGGGAACACGCTGAAGCACCGCTTCCCCAGAAACGGCCGCAGCAGGACCTTCTCCGAGGAGGTCCCCCGTCCCCACGTGTGGATCCTCCCTCCGGCACCTGGCAGCCCCACCATCCCACCCACGCCTGCCGCGGAGGTAAGCAGGGCTTTCCCAAGGTGGCTTTTCTCAAACGGTGGTCCTCTCCTGCCGCTCCCTGCATCGCTGGGCTGGGAGCAAAGCTCCAACCGAAGTCCTGCCAAGGAGATCCAAAACAACAATCCTAACAGTAGAGCTGATGCGAGGTTTGCAGCCCGGCGTGTTGTCTTCCCCCCTCACCTTTCCCATCGCACTTTGGCTTAGGCGACAAGGTCTTAGAGGCAGGGATTACCTTTTAGGACAGGCTTTGGGTTGCTCGGCCGTAACCCGAACTGCCCCTGAGGCCCCAGGTAAGTATAATCCATGCACAACCAGCACAACTGGTATTACCGGTGCTGCAGCACAGCCCCCTTCCCAGAAACAGCCTTGGAGTCCCGTCCGGGATGAGATTCAGAAGAAAATAAATAGCTGGACCCAGCGAATGCAAAATGGTACCAGAAGGCATGTTCCTCTGCATTGATGGAGGTGAGGTTTGGGCAAGAGATGCTGAGAGGCCCCGCTCTAGAGGGGCTCTGGTGGCCCCTGCTTTGAGCATCTGTGTGGTGGGTGTCTTCCGCAACGAAAATAAGCGATGAAGGCACTGTGGCGTTGGGATTTTTGTTGAAACCCCTGTTTGTTTTTCAGGGGACTCCCTCATTTATTTGCCCCTCTTCAGGGTGGTAGCGAGGAGCCTGATGAAGCACAGCCCGCACGGGACCGTGCGGTCCCAGCTGCAGAGCTTTTCGCGATGCCCTTTGGCAAACCCAAGTGGTGGTCATCCTTGGAAGAGCCGGCAACGTGGCATCCAGAAAACTCTCCTTTGCTCTCGCGCAAGCGCCTTCTCCCATCATATATCTTCCTAAAAACGGAGGGGAGGAGTGGGGAAAAAAAAAAAAAAAAAAAAAAAAATCAATCATCATCCCAGATGTTTCTAAACAGGATGTTTACCTACACCTCATGGGGGAAGAGTGGTTTTGGCGTGGGGAGATGATTTGGCTCTCCCTGGGGAGCAACTCTGTGCGGGGTCCCGCTCCGGCGTGGGGCAAGGGGTGCGTTTTGGGGGGAGCCCCAGGGCAGGGAGGGAAGGGGCAGATGGGGGGGGGCTCCGGCGGCTCCCGGCCCGCCTCGCCTTTGTTCGGGCAGGGCTGGAGCCGAGCGGCCGCGGGGCGGGGGAGGGAGGGAGGGAAGGGAGGGGGAGGGCTGGCAGGCAGGAGCCGGCTGCCCAAAAAGGCTTTTTTTTTTTTTTTTTTTTTAATCTCCAAGAAAACTGTTCAAATGCAACCGGAGAACTTTAAAAAAAAAATAAGAAAAAGGGAAAAAAATGAAAAAATACTTAAAAATTTTTTTAAAATGAAGGGAAAAAAAATAATAATAAAAAAAAAAAGCCAAAAAACAACCTCTAACTCCCACCCCTTCGCGCAGACCCTGCCCCCGGCCCGCCCCACGCCGCGCACGGGGGCCGCGGGCGCGCAGCGCGGCACCGCCCGCGCCCCCACCCCCCCCCACCCCCTTCCCCGCCCGCCCCCCCCTCCCGGGAGGCGGCAGCGGCGGCGGCGGGAGCGGCCCCGGCCCCGGCCCCGGCGGCGGCGGCGGGAGGGGGGGGGGGGGGGAGGCGGGCACCGGGCGCCGCCCGCCCCGCATCCCGCCCGCCCCGCATCCCGCCGCGCCGCGCCGCCGGCCCCAAATGGATTATCTGCGGCTGGTGCTCTCCTGCCTCGTCCCCCTGCACGGCTGCCTGGCTGCCGGCAGCGCCCCAGGTACGGCCCCTTCCCCCTGGCCGGGGGCGGGGGGATGACCCCCCCCTCCACCCCCCCCCCCCCACGGGTGGGGGAGTGGGTTTGACAGGTGGCTTGCACCCCCGGAGGTGTGGGGAGGGAGGGGAGAGGGGTGCCGCTGGGGTGGCGGTGGTGGTGATGATTGGGGTGTCGCGGGTTTGGGTTCCATGGGAAATTGGGGGGGGGGGGGGAGATGGAGGCTGGGCGAGGAATTGTTGGCGTGCGAGGGGCACGTCAGCCCGGGTTTGTTCTGCTCCGGTTGACGCGCCCGGTTAAAAACTACTAAAGCGGGGCTGCAGGGGGAAGGGACGGAGTTGTCGGGCGTAGGGCGCACCCGGCGAGGCTCCCCCCCGGGTTGGGTTGGCCGCCAGCGTCCCCGGGGAGCGGGACGGCGGGTGCCCAGCCCCTGTCCCCTCCGTCTTGCCTCTGCAGAGCTCCTTCTGTCCGGCAAACTCCGCGAGTATGGTGTGATCGTGCCCTTCAGCGCCGATTGCCGGGGTCGCTTCCTCTCGCACGTGGTGTCCGGCGAGGCGGTGGCGGGGATCGGCGAAACCGCTTGTCCCCCGTCCCGCCGCGTCCCCCGCAGCCCCCTGGATGAACCCCGCCAAGGCCGCGGGGCCGGCGGCCGCTTGCTCTACTTCAACGTCACCGTTTTCGGGAAGGAGCTGCACCTCCGGCTGAGGCCCAACCGCTGGCTGGTGCCGCCGGGCGCCGTGGCCGAATGGCAGGAGGATTTCGAGGTGCTTTTCCGGGAACCTCTCCAACGGCGGTGCCTCTTCACCGGCGACATCTCCGGCATGCCTGGAGCCGCTGTGGCCATCAGCAACTGCGACGGACTGGTAAGCCCGAGGTTGGCGCGACGCTCCGTGGGCGCCGCCCGTGTTTTGGGGCGGTTTTCTCTTAAGAGGCGCATCGCCGTGTCCTGAAACTTGACTTTTTGGTGATGCCGAACCGCCGCACGTCTCCCCCCTTCGCCGGTTCCCTTTCCCCGCGTGGCTTGCGGCGTAAGCAGGGCAGGCTACTCCACATGCCAGCGCTCTGGCCCTCCGCAGCGATGCAGTTATATTTATTTAAAGGAGTTGAAAAAAATGCTCGCCCCGTGGCTGGGCTGCCTCCTGCCCGGAGTGGGACCGTGTCAGATGCTGTCACGCCCACGGGCTCTGCCCTGCCTCCGGGACGGGTACCCACGCTGCGGACGATGCCGCCGCATCCTTGCTCACCTGTGTTTTACTTTGGGACTGCTTCAAGAACTTTTTCGCTGCGTCTCCCACCTCTTAGATGAGGTCGAGTGAGCTCGAGCATCTCCTGAAATCACTGTTAGCCAGCGGTCTTGCTCCTGCTAAGCGTCTTTTTAGGGGAGGGCCTTTTTTTTTTTTTTTTTTTTGCCTAATCGCTCATGTGCTCAGAGCCCTTTTGCTTTCTGAGTGCAGGGTGAGCACAGTTCAGCATTGGAAACTTGCTGCCACAGCGCTTTAAGTACTTCAAATAGCTGTTACCTCCTTAGCCCTGGCGTCTAGTCTGCCTGTGAGTCTCCTACCTTTGATATGCTTGAGGAATCACTTCTTATTTTATTATACCTTTGGCCCATTGCCCTTCGAATTTCCTTTGAGCCAATTTAATTCTTGTTTTAGATGCCAGCGTTTGCCGTTTTCTCCTGGTAGCACTTACGTTACTCCTGGGTTGGAGTAAACATCTTATTTTGTCTTTTTTTTTTTTTTGGTTATATTTCTTTTTTGGTTGTTTTATTCTGGGACTTCCTGAGCCAATTTTGGCTGCCTAGCACAAACAATTTGGCATTCCTTTCTTTTTATACAGCGCCCGGTGTTACTATACAAGCAGAAATGATAGAGCAGCACGGCTAGAAGGACATATTTCACCTACATTTAGTAGCTTTTTTTTTTTTTTTTTTTTCCAGCAATTTTAGTACGTAAGCCACACCTTTTGAAGCAGCATCTTTTTTTGGAATCGGCTGAGGCTGTGAATTTGCAGAAACTTCTTCGCGACATGGATTGCACTGGGGCTGGCGAATTTGGGCAGGCTTGAAAGTTTAAAGGTGTTTCCTATAGCTCCAGCAAGCAACTAGTATTGCTGTGTCTGGAGTGAAAGCCGTTTTTTTCAAGCGTGCGAGTTGCCTTGCAGATATAATTTCCCTTGGCCTGGCGACCGAAGGGATGCTGGAAGCGATCGGCAGCCGCGTCCGCGTCCCTCAAGCAGCGAGGAGGGTGTTATGGGGTTTCCCTTCCTCGCACCCCACTCTGCTGTTAGGGTCCATCTCAAGGAGGCTTCAGTTGAACTTTTCCAGGTTTTTCTAGGCTTTGGCCCTGAGTTTTCCCATCTCAGCCCCTTGCACACCTTCTCAGGCAGGGGGTTGTCATTATTTTTGCCTTTTTTCCAGCCATCCCTTGGCCGCAGGTTCCTACAGCAGTGATGCTGGTTTCAGTTGTAGCTTGTTTGCACGTGGGGTTATGTACCTGTCTTGCCACCTGCAGTACCCCCCCCCAACCCACTCTTCCTAAGCTCGTGTAAAGGAAGAAGTGGCTCTTCTCCCAGGATCAGCAGCTCCGGGCGCCTGCTTCAGCCCTCTTTACCTTCGTTACCCCCCGACGCAGCCAGCTCGGCTGGGTGGGATTAGCCGAGCCGCGTTGTGCTGATGCACAACGTTGTGCTGATGTGCAAGCGCTGAGGGCTTCTGCAGGGTGGTTTTGGGGTGCCCCCCCGTTTGCAACACTATCCTGGGGCGCGGCGTTAGCATCGTGGTTGCTGATGTGTAGTCTTGCAGATGTTTTATTTCTTCATGTAGAGCTCCAGCAACACTAGGGAAGAGGAAAAAAAAACCAACACTTTTTTTTTTTCTTTTTTTTTTTTTTTTTTTCTTTCCCCCCGCCTCCCCCCCAATGTATTTATTGCTCCGTGGCCAACAAATAAATGTCCTGGCCTCAAGCAGCAATTTCCCATCATCTGGCAGAGCACATGTGGCGATTGCAGGCTGGGGGGAGAGGTCAGGAGGGCAGGGCCTGAGCAGGGGTTCTGCTTCTCCCCCAGAAAAGAGGGTTTTGTGATACGGCCAACAGAGCAGTTGGTTTCTCTCTTTCATGGGTTTGCTGGCTGGTGTAGATTGCTGTACGGTCCTCTGGCTTAAGTAAGTCTGACAGCTTATACATCCCCTTTGGAGGAGCTGTGAGTTGAAGAGGACCTGAAAAACCCTACAAAAAGCAGTAAAAAGAGCTTGACGTATCAAACAACAAGAAACAGGACTGGAACGTGGCGATAGGTGCGGGTAGGATGGGAGGATGGTATTTATGACCACGCTGTTGTTAACGTCCTGCTAGATAGGGACCGATTTATCGTGGGGAGCACCGGCTGGAGGTGGCTTTGCTGCTCTTTGATGTGCACGTACCCTGGAATTGCTGTGGGCTTTTGCTGGAAGTTAGCCACGAGCTTCAAAAGGGGATGGTGGCTTTTGCATCCCAGTATAGCGTGCGTGGGAGGCGCAGGGCCGCGCTCGGCCCGCTTGGTTCTGGTCAGAGGAAGCGTTCTGGGATGCTGCGGGTGACGGCTGTGTACACAAAGAGATTATGCTGTGTATAAAACGGAGACAGATTATAAATAATGAGGAAAAAAAAAACAAAAAACCAAACCAAACCCAGTTCTTGAAAAAGAAAATGCACATTAAGTCTTTTCTAAATCCATAATTAGCCATATAAGTGAACTGATTTTTTTTTCACAGGTGCCAAGCCCATGGCACCTTCCACACGGGTTCTTTGCTGCAGGTGTCCATGTGTGAAAATCCAGCCCTTTTTTCTTTTTTTTTTTTTTTTGTCTCCTCTTCGCAAGGGTGTCTTCTACCAGGGTGGGAAGATGCTGTCATCCATAACATAATGTCAAAGCTGATCCAAACCACCAAATTCCTAACTGGTAAAGTAGCATTAGGCAGAAATCTCCCCCGGCGGACACATCTCGCTGCAGCAAAGGCATCCCATCTTTCCACGCAGGCTTTAGCAGCGTGTGGTCGACCTTTGTGCTTTGTTAGTTGAAGAAATGGCTGAAGAATTACCGTCTGTAGGCCCTGTATTTGCTTTTCGTGGCTGACTTTTCCCCACTGCTCTCCGGGGTTGTTTGCACCAAACGCCGATGTGCTGCAAAGTGTAGAGCCAGCGTTTTCCATCCCTGTCACCCCGGCTTGCTTCGGATGGGTGGCAGCAGATAAGCAGAGCACAAAAGCCCTCAGGAGCAGTAATTAATAGAGAACGAAGCGAGAAACAGCCCCCCGTAACGACGCCCCTGTGCAAAAAGTATGGATTTGTCTTCTGGGATTTTCCTTGCGGCTCCCGAACCGTAGGGTTAATTTGGGGAAGAAAAAAGGTGCCGGTTTAAAATGAGATGTCTCCAGGTGTTGCTCTTGATGGGAATGGAGCAAACGTGTCTGAAGGTGGTATTTTACCTCCCAGCTTCACCGCTGGAAAGCTCTCTGCGTCCCGCTTAGCATCTTGCCCGGGTTTGCATTACTAGACCGTGCGTTGTGGCGGGTAAAAAGCACGGGGTGGCAGTCTCAGGGGTTAATTATCTCCCTTAATTCTGTGTCCCCCCCACGATGCCGAGGAGTTCGCAGGTGGAGAGGCACCGAAATAATGACGGAGCACCTCTGGGCCATGTGCTGCTGCCAGGTGTGGTCCGGCCCCGCGTGGGGCAGAGCCCCCCCCCCCCCTCTCTGCAGATCCCCCCGACGGTCTCTGGATGAAGGGAGGAGCGGTGGCTAGCGACAGTGCCCGCCTTCATGCAGCCCGGCTTTCTGGGACTTTTTGTCCAAATTAAGTGTGAATCGCATAGGAAAAATACATACTATGCACGCAGCTGGATTCCCCCCTCCTCGGCGCTGTTTGCTTCTCTGGCTGAGCAGACCGGCCTTATTAATTTTTCCACATTTCAGCTGTGTTGAAGTGTCAGAATTTCCTGAATTCCCGTGGGAGTTGGGGGTTTTTGCCCAGCGGTGGTGGAGAAATTGCTTACCCGGGTTGCTGGGGGGGGTCCCCTATAGCGAGGCTGGTGCTGGGCCAGTTCATCTCTCCCACAGCCTGGGGAGATGCCTGAGAGCTGGAAAAGAGACTTCACCCACTGCGAGCTGGCAGAAGTGAGTTTAATGTTTCCCTTAAAAGAAAGAAAGAAAAAAAAAAAAGTGTATTTTCCCTCTTTCCAGTGGAATTGTCTTCAAAGGGCCATCTTCTAGTTTGGGAATTACCTTTACCAATTGCTATAGACAGCATCTCGTGTTAGAAATATCAGTAATGATAGTCCCACCTTGCCAGGTTTCATTTGATTTGATATTATTAAACTGAATGAAATCGGGGGTGGGAGGCACGCGACAAATTGATCATTGAGGATGGGATCGAGCTCTTGGCAAGAGCCCAAGGAAGGCTTATCGGGGCTTTTTGGGTGGCGTCTGGCCTCTCTTGCTGCCTCTCTGCAGTTAAAACCTTCCCCAAAATGCAGAAATACAACCCGAGCTGCTCCTTTTCGAGATGGAGCAGGTTCGTGCACGCCTCTTGCAATGGTCTTTTGGTGTTTTTTTTTTTTTTTGTGGTTTTTTTTTTTTTTTTTTTGGCAAATGCCAAGGTGACTGCTGCCACTTCAGTTTCATTTATTAGGTTGCTCTGATCAGATGTGCACACACGTCCTTGTGGTATCTACCTTGCCCGTCAGTTGTTGCCGGAGTCAGCGGTGCGTTGCGTCCCGCCTTTGGGAGAAAGCACGGGCGTGGGAGCCCGGGCTGCTTTATTTCTTGAGCCATATATAATCAGTCACGAGCTGTACAGCAGCGCAAAACCAAGTGGGCTGTGGCTTAGGACCAGGCTCTTTCATATTTTAATCCAGCCTTGCCTCAGCGCGGCGGCACAGCTTTCCTCCGGCCGCCTGACTCAGCAAGTCCAGGCTTTCGCCGTAAACCCAGAAACTGGCTTTGGGGTTCCTCGTCCTGGGTGAAACGCCCCGTGGCAGGGCTGCGAGGGGGTAAAGGTGTCCCAGCAGACCTCCTCCTGGGACGGGGGTTGCTGCTCCTCCCCCTGGGCTAAAATAGGGTGCTGGCAGGGGTACCACGCTTTCGGGTAGCGGGAGTGCCACTCCAAACTGAATTTGCAGTGCTGTGCAAGCTGGGAGCACGTTAGTTGGTGGGAAATCGTCGGCATAATTCACGTGTGTAAAATCCAGGTGTGCTTGCGATGCCTGTGTCAGATGCCCAGCGCTCTGCCCTCCTAGCTACTCATTTTTTGCGTTAAGCCATGGATGCCCACCTTATAGTAGAATAAAGAACAACAGCTTAGACTTGCCCAGCCATCACTGGAGCTGACCCGTGGCTTGACTCCCTGGCTTGAGCTCTGCCTCCTCACCACCACCTTGCCCGGTGCTCCAAACTCTTGGTTGAACCCGGCTGTGATCTTCATCTCCTTGGCTGGGGGTGATGGGACAAGCCCTGGCTGAAGAGGTCCTGCCCCGGTGACCTGAACGTCCCCTGTGGGAAGGACCTGAGATACGTGTGTCAGGCAAGTTGATCCGAGCACAACTGCCTGTACGAAGATTCCTCGGGAAGGAGGTAAAACAAAACCAGCCAAAAACCTGCTTTCCAAAGGAGTTAAGCAGCTAATAAAACCCAAGTGGAGTAGGAAATTTGATGAAGTCTAACAGAGCCAGGTTGGCTGATGCCACGATGAATGCAACAGTACGTGAATGCGAAGGGGATCCAATGACCCAGGCGGGCTTGGAAGAGCCCCAGCTTTGCCTGGCTCTTTACAGAGCCCAGTTCGCGTCTCCCTACCGCTCTGTGCAAAATATATATATATATGTATGTATATATATATATTATTTTTATCTTATCTGATGAAAACAGTTCCAATACCTCAGCCCTGATGAGGACTCCAGTAGGTCCATGCTGTTGAAGGCAGATCCATATGTTCTGCCCGTGCTTTCCGGGCACCTTCTCAGCAGCAGGCAGTGCCGGAGGAGGGAGCACACGCGTGCATGATGGAGGAAGCTGTGAAAAGATGCTGGGTTGGGGGGGGCTGCCCGTGGGATGGAAGCCAAATCCTGGCCAGCCTTTTACTTGCCTGAGGTCCGAGCCGGCCGGCGCTGCAGGGTACGAGCGCTCGGGCTGATGTAAGGGGGGATTTGGTGGGAGCTTGGTGTTAATTAGGAGCAGGTCGGTAGCCAGGACAACGTTTCCAACCATGTTTGCCCTCTCATTCATCTTCTTCTTTGAGAGGTGGAGTAGTAACGCTTTCCAGCTTCTCCAAAGGGATTCTCTTGTGTTAATTCCCAAGCACTTTGCAGGGCAAAGGCGATGGTTTCTTTTTCCTTCCTTCTTGCTGTGACTGCAGTTAGCAGTGTCGGGGAAACGGCTGATTTCCTCCCCAGCACCATGGGGCTGAGGAGGAGGATGGGGAGGGCGCAGGGGGGCGAGCTGGCGCGGGAGCCTGTGCAGCCTGTATCCCCTGATGCACAGAGTTAGGTGGAAAAACTCATCGCTGATGAGAAGGAACGGAGTTTCCTAGCCATATAAAGATGTAACTTGTATTGTGGCCAGTTTTGCTTTTTTTTTTTTTTTTTTGTTTGGTTGGTTGGTAGTTTTCCCCCCTTTTAAATTTTTTTCCCCCCCATTTACAGGAGATACTAAGGGTTATCATAGACAAACACGGTAATGGATCCATCCCAGTGTCATGGAGTAGCAACAAGACACCTGTTTTATTTGGGATGCTTTTTCCCCTTGCATTCATGCATGCTCTGCATCAATCTTTAATGAGAATATAGTGTAGGTACATGTATGTGCATATGAAAACACATCTTTCTTTTTTTTTTTTTTCTTTCCTCTTTTCTTTATTTCTTTGTGGAGTCCAGGCTGGCCTGATTCGGACAGACAGCAACGAGTTCTTCATCGAGCCCCTGGAGAGGGGGCAGCAGGAGATGGAGGAGCACGGGAGGGCCCATGTGGTGTACCGCCGGTCGGCCATCCGGCAGGATGGCGCTGAGCCCCGCCAGGACCTCCACCCCGAAGGTAGGGGCTGCTGGGATCTAGTTTTTCCCAGAAATTTATAGTAACTATTTCTCGTGGTGGCGAGGAGGAGGCTTTCTCCTTCAGCTTGCCCTCTGGCTCGTATGTCTTGCCTAGTGGCTTTAGGCTGGCTTTAACGGCCAGCTGAGTCACCGGCGAGAAGAAAGGAAAGCAAATGCTGGGCTTTCACCGGGAACTTTGAAATTCTTCCAAATTTGGTTAAAATTGGATGAATTATATATGAGTTATTCTTCCTCTTCTTCAAAGAGGAAGGATCTCCTACATGGGGGTGGCCAGGCCCATGGATGAGCACGTCGGCCTTGGGATGGGAAGCAGAGTCAGGACTTGTGAGCAAAGGGCAGAACATATGGAGTTGGTGCGGCTCAGCTGCCGCCTGGAGATGTACGTGCTGCAGTCTTGTTTTAATCAATTATACATTGTGAAATGTGCCATTGACTTGACTTTTAAACAGATGATAGAAGCCCGCCCTTTTCCCAGTGTTCAGAATTCATTTTGCTTTTCTAGCACCTCATCCTTTTTTTTTTTTATTTTTTTTTCTCCTTCTTTGCCTTCAAGGAGAAAACGTGGCTTTTTTTTTTTTTTTTTTTTTCCTCCATAGCATCACTTAGCCGTGCACTGCACTCTGCGCGCATAAATTGCCTGCTGACTTCCCCTCCCACCCACCCCAAGCCGAGTGCACCCAGAAGCGTTTACAAGCGTGGGGTCAACGTTGTGCAAAAGTACTCTGTAAACCTATTTATATTTACGCAGCGCCGTTAGCCTTCTCCGGCGTTTATTCACCTCTTGTGGCACCGTAATCAGCTCCCTGGCTTTTAAAAAAGTTTAAAAGTTTCCCAGGGTGTGCTCATTGCCTTTGTAGCGTGGCTAATGGCACTGCGATTGAGAGCTTTGAAGGGATTGCTGGGTGATGGGGTGAAGGATGCGAGGAAGGACGAAGGATGCTCTGGCTACGGCCGTCTGCTCTCAAAGAGCAGCCCCCAGCTTTGCGTGTGTGCTCCCCACGTGTCCCAGCACCGCTCAACAGACAGTGTAGGACTATCATCACATGGACGTGTCCTCGAGGGGCTGGCGTTCCCACTTCAGAGCCATTTCCCCACCACAGAACAAGCTGGGTTAGCAACCTGGTCGGAATTAAATACGCTCTTTATTTTTCCTGCTCGATTTATACTTTTTTTTTTTTTTGGAGTGTCACCGTGGTGTCGGGTCACCTCAACAGGCGTTTTCTTTTCCTGCCCCCTGTGCCTTGCTCAGTGCCCGGCGTGCGGGTGGGCGATCTCCCCAACTCCCTGGAGCTGATGACGGAGCAGCTGGGGGACGCGGAGCGCAAGAGACGCCACGCCAGGAAGGATGACTACAACATCGAGGTCTTGCTGGCGGTGGACGACTCGGTCGTACGCTTCCACGGGAAGGAGCATGTCCAGAACTACGTCCTCACCCTCATGAACATAGTAAGGCTTGGCTTTGGGTGGCCGTGGCTCCCACCCCTCCCTCGGTTTGCTGCTCTTCTCGTGCTTCAAGTCTGTTATCCTGGGGAAAAACAGGGGGTTTTGGGGGGGGGAAAAGCGCTGCAGGAAGGGCTATTCCTTCGCATAGCCGGCTTTGGCTTTTAATAGCTGTGGCAACAGGAGTGATGGAAAGCAGAGCCCTTTTATATTCCCCTCCGTCACGTTCCCCTGGCCAGCGCCAGGGCCTGGCGTGTTGGTTGCCGTCGCTGTCTGTCACCCGAGTCCAAGAGCATCTTCTGTTTCTCCTGGCCAAGACCATCTTTTCCTCGTGGCCAAAATCTCAGCAAATGCTAGGAAAGAGAACGGTTGCTGATTATTTAGCTTGAAATGATTATATTTATTATTTATTTTGTAATTATGGTGTCTGTTATTTATTTTTAATACTATTTGTTGATGGGGGGGGAAGATTTTTATAGATTTTTCACAAGTTTTTTTCATGTTCATTGGAAAACCTGTGCACCTTGAGGGTTAGTCAGTTGTGTCTGAAAAGGAATTTATAGCAGCTTTCCAGCAGCCCTGCTTCTGCATTTCTCCTCACCCAGTGGCACGGGGAAGCCTGTGCTGATTCCCTACACTGCTTTTCTTTCCTTTTTAAGATAAAAATGTATATGTTCCCCAAGTCCTGAGAGATGTGGAAGGATCAATATTTATTCGGCTATTCATCTTGCAGGAGGTTTGCTCTGCTGGCACCTGCATGTCTGCAAATAGGGTCAGCGTTCAAAGATCTCTTTTGTGGGCTGTCCCGTTTTTGTTTTGTTTTCCATACTTTATCCTCGCCTCTATCTATTTATTTTTATTTGAGTACTCTTTTGTATGGTGATGGAAAGTGTTCGAAAGGTACAGCCGGCTCAGAAATAATCAAGCTATAAAGATGCTTTTGTTTTTTGCTTGTTTGTTTGTTTGGGCATTATTTTTGGCAGGCAGGCTCAGAGCCATCTTGCCAGTAACAAAGGGGAAATTATCAACGTAAGGGGTAAGGATTTGCAGGATTAGAGGCCAAGCGTAATGTGGCCAGTCCCAAACAGAGAAGATTTTGGTTTTAAAAAGCAAATGCCTTCATTGCAACGTTTTATTCTCCGGTGCGTTATCCCAATGCCCATGGTAGGATGCTCTCAGCGTCACTTAAATTCACTCTCTGAAAGTTTCTTCCCTTTGCTTATTAAACCCTTCTGCAAGGGGGAGGCCGCAGGGTCCCCCCTTCTGACCTGAGGCTCTTCCCACGTTACGGGGGTCGGAGATGATGTCATTTTTCCTTTCCGATCGGGGGGTGTGGTGGGGAATGGACGGTTTGAGCGCCTGGGGATTGTCAGCTCTAATCAAAAGGTTGGTTTTCAGGCTCATTTCATGGTTTATACCCCGCGGGCAGGACTTTTCAGGGAGTGAATGCGTGGGATGCTGTGCTGGGAGAAGGGAGGACTGCTGTCTATTCAAATAAAGGCAGCGCTGGAGACTTTAATGAATTAGATAAAGAGGGAAAAAAGCAGCATCAATAAAAGGGAGGAAAAAAACAGGATAATTCATGCAACAAATACTTCCCCAAGTATTATTTCCTTCTATACGTTCTTCCCCCCAACCCTTCCCCTTCTTTCTTTCTGATTTTTAGTGAGTTTTCTTTCCAGCTTTGCCGTGACCTCCGTCCATCTCCTCTTCCCTTGGCGCCGCCTTGTTTCCTTACCGGCTCGGATTGCCTTAAAATACACGATTCAGCAGGAAAAAAAAAAAAAAAAAAAAAATGCTTTCTGGCCTGGATGGCAGAGGGAGAGAGAGAGAGGAGGGTGCTGGGGGTTGGTGGGGAGGAGCGTGCTGGGACCACACAGCTGAACACTAATCCCATTAGTTGGAGGCAAGGGCAAGGAGGAGAGGCTTGGCCAGCCCTCTAACGAGGAAAGGCCTTAATGAGCTGGGCTGGAGTGCACTGGGGAGATGCTGTACAGGAGCCAGCTGGGCAAGTCTCCAGGAGATTTCCGATCAAAATATATCCCAAAGAAAGGGGGCAGCGAGCTTAGAAGTTGATAATAAACTTTCCTGGCCTTTTCTGGGGTCCCCTTTGGGTGCCGAGGGGGTGGGGGGGGATGTGTAACCCCTTCCTGGTGCTGCCTGGGCTCGGCTTAACACGGTGCTGCTGTAGGTAGGGTCCTGGGGCTCTCCCCGAGACACAAACCCTTTTATTAGGAGCCTGGTGTCAGCTGAAGCTCTGTGAGAAATGATTCGTCACGGAGAACTTTTTTTTTTAAAAAAAAAAAAAACAACAAATCCAAAACCAAACCTCTTATTTCATTGCCAGAAATGTGGTTGCCAGGCTTTTCATTAAACGGCGCTGTGTCCGTCCCGGGAAGTTGACATGAGGATGAGTGCTCCTTTTGTGCACCTAAGAGCTTCCCCGCAGGCTGCTGTCCCCTCTAGCTCCCAGCCTGCCCTTCCCTTCTTGGCTCGGAGGCTACATGAGGATTTTGGAGTCAGGTTGAAGCGAGTGGGAGGTGCATCCTTTGCCATCGCTTGCCGGGTGCGCTGGAGAAGGCGCATCTGAGGATATCTTGTAACTCCAAGCCGAGCATCGCTGTGCCCACCCTAGCAAAACCTGGCTCCCTCCCCGATGCTGGGCTCTTGGGAGGAATATTTGGCAACGTGGTGGCTGGGGGAAGCCGTTCCCCTGTCTTGCTTGCTGCCCGTGGCAGGGATTGCGGTGGTATCGAAGCAAAATTAGCACCCCCCCAGCCACATTGACTGCGGTGGGAGAAGGGCTGGGAACCGGGAGGGGATCCAGCACCCTGTCAGGGGGAGAGATGGAGATGTTTTGTGCCCTGCTTTGCTTTTCAACCTCTTGTCACTCAGCTGGGCTCCTTGAGGAGGAGTTACGCAGTTAAGCCCAGGGCTGTGTTGGCCATTCAAAACCCCAGGCGTGGTTTTCTCCTTTGGATTTCCCACTGCTCGCCCCTGATCCTCTCAAGGCTGGTTCTGCTCAGAGGAGACAAGCCGAGCTGTGGGCTCTGTTAAGCCTGGCTCTGGCATCAACTGCTTTGCTGGGATTTTTGTAGGATATCGCCCGTGATTTGGTTAAGGATGCAAAGGTTCTTGGTGTTTTCCCATCGTTTCAGGTTACTAGGGAAACCCTGTGACTCAGAGCCCTCTCCAGGCTGGGACTTGCCTGGTTCCCCCCCGATTATTGTTCCCAAGGGCTGAGTGACAAAGAGTGCTGCTGAGACCCCACGGCGGAGAGGGTTAGGGGTAAAAACCCTCAAAACCTCCGATTTTAATTTTAACTTGGGATTATCCAAAAAGCCAAGCCAAAGCATGGATTGCTTGAGACACTGATTTGCCGAGCTTGATGCCATTTCAGGAGCGGGGGGAGCCTAAAATAACGGGCAAATTATACTCCTTCTGGTGTATGGGTTTTTTTTTGGTGGTTTGTGAGCCATTTCCTTGCTAACTGATAATAACAAAAAATACCTCTGATGTCTGTCTTATGCAATCATGCACTTTTTCCCACCCCCTGTATAGGCTCTCATGTTTGTTGCTGGTTTGGGGACAGCATAGCCTGTTGTGTAGAAAGCTGTGATAAAAACGAGAGACTTGCTCTGCAGGGCAAACGTTCCCGTTCCTCTATATTGAAAATGTGAGTGACATGGGTCAGCCCTTGCAGAGGATGGTGTACATCCTTGCAGGGAAGGCAAGTGTGTGTAGCAAGCCCAGTAATGTAGTCAGGAGGACTTTTGCCTCTGTTTGTAGCCCCTCAGCCCCAGAAAACAGGCTTGGGGTGCATCCGCCGGCATGAAAATTGAGTGAGGGAATAAAAGAAAGGAGCTTAAAGATGACTTGGCTGTTCTGAGTAAGCAATCTGGGCTTTTGAAATGTCAGCTATTCCGCTGGTTTGGCAAATTCTTCTCGTGTCTCTCTCTTTGTTTTCCTTCCCTGAAGAACGGTGAGGTCTAGACTTTGCCAGTGCGGTTTGCTGTCGAGATCTTGTGTCTGGGGCTGCAGATTCGGGTCTGGCCAGAGGCTTGCAGGGATTTAGGTAGGCAGCTTTGCTTGCTCCTAGTGCCAGCAACGGTTGGGGGGGGGGGGCCCTGGGGGTTTCCCATGCACTTGGCAAATTCATTGAGCATTTTCCAGAAGATGCACAGGGTTTTAATGTTCATTCTTTGTAAAGCAGTAGCATCATCCCCTTGGCGTTGCAGGGCTGGGGGCTTTGGAGTTGTCTGTGGGAGGTCCTGCGGGCTGGTGGTTCTTGCTGGTTTGCCCTCAATGCACAGCTTAGCCTTTAAGGGCTGGTCTGTTTTAGGTGGAAAAAAAAAAAAAATCCTCTTTTAAATGAAATCGGAGAGCATTTCTTGCCAGGTGACAGTATTAAACAGGCTGGGCATCTAACCATGTAGGCGAGAGGGATAAGAAGATCTTTATCCCATCTGTCTTCAGGGAGGCAGGTCCCTTTACCCGAGCCCTTTGCTGAGCAGGTATTTTCTGGGGGGATTTTCTCTGAAGACATTGACTCCCTTAATGGCATCCGCAGAGGGCAGGGGGAGTTGTGCCAAGCCTGCAAACTCCTCTCTGGGCCAGTTTCTATCCCCTCGGCTGGCTTGAACCAGCTCCGGGGCGGGCTGATGGGGAGCAGGGAGGTGATGCTCAGCTCCCCCAGCTCCATCCCCACTTCTTCCACAGGCATCATGGTGCTGGGGGAGATGTTGGCCCTGATGATGATCCCCCTGCCCCCGAAACTTGGGGACCATGGGGTCGCAGCCTCCAAGGCAGCAAGCCATTTTATTTATGTATTTATTTATTTATTTATTTATGTATTTATTTTCCTCAATCAATTATTTATATTTGGCTGTTAAGGGAAGTCTGCAGCCTTGGGCAGTCTGGTTCCACATCTGCTTGCCGAATTACCGGCTCGGCATCGACCTTTATGGTTATGTTAGGTACAGATCCCTGCCTAAATGCTGCCCTCCCCTAGACAAAAGAGGGGGCTGGGGTTTAGCGTTAACCCTTTGGTTCAGAGACTGGATGGTACCTAGTCCCTGCTAGCTGGAGGAGAGTGAGATTTAGCACTGCTTTAAAAGGAAGATTTAGGGGATTATATGCCATCTTGGAGTAATACAGCTTCTTGTGTCTTAGTCCCTTAATGAGCTGCTTCTTAGCTGCTCGTGGTCCTGCCGCTGTCCGTAGCTGCTTCTCTGTCAAGGCTCGCGAAGGATGCACAGTGCTGGGAGGGCGTTGATGAGTTTAGTTGTCAATGCCTGTGAAAAGTATTGCTGTTCCCCAATTTTTTTTTTTTTTCTCCCAGGGTAGGTATTGTTGCCTGGGGGTGCATGGTTTGGGGCAGGGAGCTCTCCTCAGACCAGGGGACTGTTTGCAGGCACCACTGGTGGGAAGAGACATTGCAGAGAGGAGGGCTTGCCTGGTAAGTCAGCTGGCACGGAGCAAAGCTCTTGCCCTAACAGCTCCTCTGTTCGTGCTCCTTCCTCCCCTGGATGCGACCCTCCTCATCTCTCACTGGCCAGGGCTGCCACGTGGCACGTTGTCACGGAGCATCCTTTCTTTCCCGCTGCCCGTGGGGTCTGCTGAACATCCTGCTGAAATATCCTGCGGGAAGGGAGAGAGGTTTGCGCGGCTCCCTGGGATGCTCCGAGTCACGGCAAGGGCAGGCAGCCAGCTCTGACCGGCAGAGAGGTTCCCGAGGCAGGGACATGGTCCAGTGGTTCATCCCAGTGGATCGAGGGGTCCTGGGGAGCGGGGAGCAAGCAGCAGAGTGCCGCTGGATGGTGCTGAGGTGCTGACTGAAGCGGAGGCTTGATGGTGCTCCAGCTCCCAGCAACTGGTGGTGAAGGAAAATGAATAAAGGTTTGGGAAAGTGGAGGACATGGCCGTGTTTTCCCCTTGTTCCCCTGAACCATCTCCCGGGTCCAGCTCTCCGGATCTTCGAGGCCATAGCATATTTTCATTCCTCCCTCTCTCCCAGCATTTCTCACTGTTTTATATTGCCTCTCAGACAACGTGCATTAAGGCTTGGAATATTTTTGTAAAGGGTCAGACTGCTGGCGTGGGACTTCTCAGATCAGCTAACGTTTTCTCCGGGATGCCAAAGCCTGCTGCATCCCAAAACCCGGGGCTGAGCGTGACCCCCCTGGGGTGTTGCAGCCTCTCGCTGGGATGGATGCTTCGTGCTTTGGTGGGACTGTAGGTCTGAGGAACGTTTGTGAGTGGGAGCCCACCTGCAGCGCTGCATGACCTTCCTCCCGTCTGCGCGCATCCCCTCATAAAAAGAGTTAGCGTCAGAAGAAATCTGTCATATTCTTATTAATCTTACAAAATGCCTTTAAAAAGGTACTGGTGCAGCGTGAGGGAGCATCCCAACCACAACAAGCAGGGCCGAGCTGACAACGGGTTGTGCAGTGTTATCTTTCCACGCTGGTGAAGAAATTGACCCCACGGGGCTTACAACGTGTACATCCAAAGGGATGCATTAATGGGGATGGACTGGGGATTTATTTACTGATTATTTTTTTTTGGAAGGGAGGGGATGGGGGGTCAGTTTTCCTGCAATCAAAACGTGGCAGGCTCAGGACCTGCATTACCTCTCTGTAAAGCTCAGGGCCACTCCATATTAGTCGTCGTGGGGAAACGTTAATGCTGAGTCTTTGGGTTTAAAAATGGCCTGAGTGGGTATTTCAGACAGATACACAGTTTATAAATTGGGGAGAGGGTGTGCTTGTAAAGCACTCGCGCAATCTGGGAAATGGCTGACTTGGATCTGGGCAGCAGTAAAGGGGTAGTTGTCACTCAACCCTCGAGTTCAAATGTAAGCTTAAATAAAAAAATGGAATGGGGAAAAAAATAGAGAAGCTCCATAAATCTGGTTTTATAATATTCATCTAGTCCAGAAAGCTGTGATAGAGCTGAGGCAAATTATTTCTCTCTTGGACAGAGCTGAAAAAGTACCTTTTAATTTAAACGTTAATTCTGGTCAGTATTAGAAATGGTTTTAACATGGCTGCCCCGCCTTCTGCAGTGAACCCCCATTTGTGTCAGTGTTCATTTTGGAGACTTTTGCGAATTCAGAAAGTCCCATTCTCTAAAAATATATATATATATATATATATATTTTTTTTTTTTTCCGGGCTGTATTTTCACACGTGCTTTGGCGGTGAGCAAAGGCTGGTGCAGGATCCCCTGCTCTTGCGTGGGTTTATGGCTGCCCACTCAGTGCCTCTCTTGGTGGCCGGCTGTCACCGCGCTCAGCTCGCAGGAACCCTTCTCATCTGGGTGTCTTCTTCTCTTGGTACCACTTAGGAGTAGAATTTGTTTATTCATCCTAGAAACACAGAAGGGAAAAAGCTGTAGCTCATTGTTTCCTTTGGAAAGTAATTTTTTAATAATAGGTATCTTATTGACTCACAAGCTCCCCCTGTTCTTTTCATTGTAGTGTCTTCTCCCGGGGTTTCTGAAGCAGTAGGTCAAATTTGACTCACCGGTATAACTGAGTAATGCCTTTGCTTTGATACAATCACTTGCCTCTCCCCAAAAAGCCATTTTTTCTTTCCACCAAACGCAAGGATGCTGGAGTCCAAAGCGTCTCCTTCCATCTGAGAAAGTCAGACCCTGACGGGTACAATGGCTCATTGCGGGATGCTCGGCGGTGGAGGCAGCTCCCGTGGGAAGCACAGCCCTCCTCTGCTCTCCTGATGGGATGGGTGATGTCACTGACCGTCTGAGCCACCCATCCGGGAGAAATTTGGCTTATTCCAGTTTGGCTTTTTGACTTTATGGTTTTTACACAGAGGAAAAAAATTAGAAAAAAAAAAAAAAGCTGTGAGTGGGAGGAGGGAGATGAGATCTTTGCATCTGGTCTTGGAAAGCAGGGTAGGATGCTGAATGTGGGAACGTGGAGGACAGGAGGGGCTTGAGAGCTGGGATGGGCTTAACCTCTCCTCTGTTTTATTTCCCTCCCTTCTTCAGGTGGATGAAATTTATCACGACGAGTCCCTGGGCGTTCACATCAACATCGTGCTGGTCAGGATGATCATGGTGGGATACCGCCAGGTAAATACAGCGCTCGGACGTGGCGAGTAGGAGATGCCATTGGGGCTGGCCTCTGCTTTTTGGCCACTTTCCCGGCTCGAGAGGGAGGGAGGGAGGGCTGCCGAAATGCAATGTAGGCACAGCAGGCAGCTGCCACTTCTCCCAGGGCCAGCAAGCGTGCAGCGACACCGTGACTTAGTGTCTCCTCACCATAATATTTAGCACTTAGGTGAGCCCTGGCTTGGAAAAATGCAGCCATTCAGGTTGGCTATTGAAGCCTAAGTGACAACTGTGCCGAGCAGGAATGAGGGGGGCACCTGGATTCTGGAACCTGAAGATCTGGAGACCCCCACAGCCCTCCAGCCCCAGGGCAAAGAGAGGTCCCTGGGGAGATGGCAGGTGGGCTATGATCAGCCTTTATCTGTTTGCACTGGGGTGCCAGAAGAACCACGAGAGGCTTCCTCAGAAGCTCTAGGGTGGCAGTAGATGGTGGGACAAAGGTGGCTTCCCAAGTTGGTAAGAGCTGGATGTTAGTGAGGAGAAGCCGAGGCCAGGATCTCCTGCATCCCAGCCTTGACTCGGCAGTCCTGGAAAGCTTTGCTGCTGGTCCTGCAGCTCCCGGGTGGCTTGGGCATGGGCACGGAAATCGTGGGAAGGTTTCGTGTGGTTTCTCACGTTGCGTTTGTTTTTTGAAGGCCTGTTTGAGCACGGCAGCCAGAAGATTTTCTTTAAAACAATGGGATTTGCTATGCTTCTTGTGGCTAGCCCCTATCCTACATGAAGCATTAATGACTCAACGTGGTGACGTCTGCGTGTGTGGTCCACAAATAAGCCCCATTAGGTTTTGGAAAAAAAGCCTGCTAGTTGCAGGAATCTGCTCGGCCGGCAGAAACCAAATGCCTCGGAGAGACTCGGGCATGAGCAGATGCTTGAATCCAGGTGATAGCTCACCCCTGTTGAGGTCTGGTGCTTCCTGAGCAAGTCCTTCTGCGGCTTCTTGTCTCCCACCTTGCACTTTGTAGGTCAAAACCTCTGTGGCTTCTACTCAAGGGCCAGGGGAAGGGCAGCGCTTCTTCCCTTTCTTCCCACCGCTGCAGCTCGGCAGGTACCTGCCTGACAGCATTGTTTATTTTATAGAACATCGTTTATTCTTTAGAGCATCATTTATTTCGTAGAGCATAATTTTGCAAAATGCTAATCTCAGAGCAAAAAGAAGAAAAAAGATGAAGGGCGAGGTGACTGCTATAAAACAGTCCCAGGCACCTCCACCTCTTTGCTCTTGGGCTCTTGGTCTCTGTGGGTCAGGTTTCGCAGGGGAGCATTGCTGTGCTCATTGCTGAGCAGCTTCCCAGGTGCTCTCCTCTTTTACCTACTGCTGCCCCGAGCATTTGTGGGACCAAAGAGGGTCATATACTTTCCTGTACCAGACCACATCTGTTTGTGGGAATGGTTTCTTAGCTGTTTTTAAATTTAAAAAGTGCAAGCTGCTTTGGTGTTGTTGCTTCTAATGATGGAGAAGCACTGCTTAGGAGTCTTTCCAACCCCAAAACTCTTGGCAGGTTCCTTGTCCTCCACTAACTTACCTTTTTTTTTTTTTTTTTTTTTTTAATTCTTTATCCAGTCAGTCAGCCTGATAGAACGAGGGAACCCGTCTCGGAGCTTGGAGCAGGTCTGCCGCTGGGCTCACTCGCAGCAGCGCTCCGACCCGGAGCACGCCGAGTACCACGACCACGCTGTATTCCTCACCAGGCAAGATTTTGGTCCCGCAGGTATGCAAGGTACTGTATTTATCTCGATCAGGTATGTGCAGTTTGCTGGGGGAAAGCCAGTGAGGGGAGAGGATTTCTTGCAAACACAGTCTGTTTCTTGGCCAGCAAGGTCCAGAAAAAGGTTATAAAAATTGGTATTTTTTTATCGTGAACCAGAAGAAAGACAGAATTATTCCAGCGCATCAACCTGAATGGATACAAAAATCATCTTTATTCATTCTGCCCTTACTTTGGTTTCATGCACCAATGCTGCCCTTGTCCCAGAGTACCTTAAAAAACTGGAAAATAACATAAAAAAAGATGGAATACCACAGGGAGCTTCACGGGGCCAGTTAATCCTTTCTGTCCCCTGGAGGATCTTTAAAACCTGTTTTTTACATAGGTTGGTTTCTTGGCCCTCTTAGGACTTGGACACGGGAGCATTGAGTAAAACCCAGGCCAGAGAGGAGGTCTTACTGCAGCCTGAAGGAGTGATGGCAATAGTCCTCTCACCCTCATGGTGCAGAGTCTGTGCTGATGTGGTCTGAGAAGTTAGAGACATAGGCAAAAAACTCTGCAAAATTTGCAGGAAAAGATTCTGGTGTTTTGTGGCTCCATTAGAAAAGCGGATGCTTTGGTGTCATCGCGAGAGGTGACTTCTGCCCGTTCTCTTGAGCCCGCTATCTCCAAATTGCCATCTCCTCCTCCCTACGCTGGTGGCAAGGTCTGAATTTCCCATTGGGAAGCTCAGTTTGATGGCATGAATGTGCTGGTAACATCACACTGATTTGTAGCATGAGTCCTGGTGAGCGTAGGAGGAAGGAGAGGTGAAGATGGTTCGGTAATCAAGGTAGTCACCTTGATTACCTCCTTGGAAATGGTTTCCCCGCAGCAGCAGATGAACTGCAGGAGATACCCAGCTGGAAGCCCTCCTGAACCTGTGCTGTTGGCCATCAAAAAGTGGAGCTAGGGTTGTGCCAACAGCCTCCCTGCCGAGCCGTCAACCTGCCTTGGGCTCCTTGTCCGGAGCTGTGCGGCAGCGTGGGTGAAATACCAGGTTTTGTTTCATTTTTCTAGACTCTTCCTGGCAAAGTGACTGTGTCCAAAGGCGTTGGTGAGAGGACCTTTTTTGGCATGTTGGCAGAAGGGGGAGACATACTGGACTCCCCCTTTGTGGGAAGGAGTCATGAGATCAATGGAGTACCCTGGTTTTAAGAGTGCTCGTTCCAGCTCCTTCCCCCTTTCCCTGCGGATCTGGCTCCCTGCTTGTCACACATCTCTGAGACGGACGTTTGCTTTCTGCAGAAGTCCCCATAGCTGCTGTGTCCTTGCCTGGCTGTGTTGCATGCACAAGGCGTGGGTGCTCCTCACGCACTGGGAACTTCCCTCTCATTGGAATAGTAACACTTTGCTTACCTTTGCCTCTTTTCCTCAAAACAAAGTCCTTTTAGATCCCTATCACCCCATGTCAGCTCAGGGCTACGTGCAATGAAGGACCAGACCGTGGCACCTCCAACACTTGCTCTTGGCTTAGATGGTATCTAAGGGGCTTGCTGAGGTGGTGGCAAATAGCCTGCTGGATTCTTGAGCCGCTGCTGTGGGGTGTATGTGCTGGTTGGGAAGCATCTGTCCTGCTCCTGCGTGCCCTGAAGCTGAGCGGAAGGCAGAGGTGGTCCTGCCCCAAAGACCCTGCAGCCTAAGTCAACAAGCCAGGAGAAAGGTGGCCTTTGATGATGAAGTCCTCCAAGTCGCAGAGACCTGGGAACGGAGGCTAAATGTCAAGCCTGTGCTTAACTTGATGCCTCATCACTCCTTACTCACCACTCCACCCTCATAACTCCTTGTGTGCCCAATTAGCAACGGAGACGGGGCTGAATCTGGCTCGTTAACCCATGTGGTCCTCTTAGCCCAGGCTATTTCCATGCCAGCATGCCAACCATGCTTCATCACCACGTCCCCACCAGACATGGCTCCTTTGTTGTGTCACCTCCCCTTGGCCAGCAAGCCAGACCAGTGTTTGGTCTGGTGTGGCACTGGTTAAGCTGGATGCAAGTCCTCACAAAGCATTACAGACTTCTGGCATAGCTCCTCTCTGTTGCGGGTCCAAGCTGAGCCCTGAGGAGGTTTACAAAAACTTCTCAGTGCTGGCAGCAGCCCCGCTCATGGCATCTCCTGCTGGGGATGAGAGAAGTCGTGGCGAACGTGGAGGAATTTTGGAAAGCTGGTGCAATTGTTGCTTTGGAATCGAGGGGAAACTGGAAGGCGTGAAGGGGAAGGTCCGGGAGGGACAGCTGAGCTGCGCTGCCCTCGCATGTGGGTTGCAAATAAACCCCTGCCCTTCAAAGAGAAATACCTCTCAGCGGTGGACAGATGGGTTGTAAATTATTAACTGTAGCTGCTGAAGCCCCATCTAAACCAGAAGAGACTGTCGTGTCCCTCCACAGCGGGTGGGCACGGAGGGCTTTCTGGCCCAGGCTGAAGGATGCTTTTGCTTATTTAATTTGTTGCCCTGTAATCACCTATGGTTGGCCATTGAGCAGGCTGGCAGTTCATGCAGAAGGTTAGAAAGGCTGAAAGCAGATAGGAAGTGTCCATAAAGAAGAATAAAGTGCATTTGGAGGAAGCAAGAGACTGGCTGGTGTCTTGCTGCTATGGTGAGGACATGCTGCTTCTCCTATGTGTGGGTCTGGTAAGCGTTTGCAGGCTACTCTAGTCTTCACCAAGTAAGTATTTTCCAGGTCGTTACTTCCCACCATCGTTCTCCTGTGGAGATACTTCTTTCAGTTCTCACAGGGGTCTTAATTATGAAAGACCAGTGTCTGCCTTCCTGAGCATCCACCTTTTCATATTCCTTTGTTCCATCTCCCGTCCAGACATCCAGAGCCTCTTGAGTTGGCAATGTGTCCTGTTTTCATCCTAGACAAACTATATTTGCTGTCCCCTTGTACAGAAAGTTTTCTACATCTTTACTCTTTCTTGTGAGAAGTTTCATGAGGGGGAAAAAAAAAAAATTTAAATTATTTATCCAGGATTTGGCTCATTACTGTATGGTTAAACCCAATTATCTGATTCTCTCTCTCAAGCTCTTAGTTTGGCCTGTTATCTTTTGCTTTCCTTCTGACTGTAGTGCCCGTTGAGCCTGTCATTTCTCCACTCTCTTTCTTAAGGTGTTTTAGTTTATTTCTTCATTGGAATAAGTCTTGTTGCCCACTTGAATGTGGGGAAGACGAAAAACAAATGCTTCCCCCCGTAAATAGAGCCCCAGGTGTATTGAAGCTTCTTTGAGAAGATCCTCGTGATTGCAGAAGTTTCTCTGAGGTTACGTGGTGCTTTGCAGGCAGAAGCAAACTCGCTCTGCCTGTAATAGGTGTTTGTTTAAACTTGGGCTTTTTGCTCAGCAACTTGAGTTCACTTGACCTCCTTCACTTGGATCACAGGCAAAAATGCATCCATCGCTTCCCACAAAATACCATGTGAGTGAGCCCTTCAAAGGTTTGTGTTTGGGCTTGTTTTGAAAAATTAAATTATTATTATGAGAGAAGCTTCCTTTTGAAGTTCCACTGCAGGTGGACACCCTGGAAAATCTCTGCTCAGCCGCTAAATAGAAATATTGAGGGAAATGCTCACCCCAAAGCCCCTTGGTTTTGCCTTATGCTTGGGGTGACGGTAACTTCTGGGTGCCCAGTGGTGCAGCAGCCACCCATCCCTTGTTCCATCAGGCATCTGATCCACTCATCACACCCACAAAGACAACTGCTGTTGACATTAGGGCAGAGCTGTAGGAAACCTTTTATTTTTTTTTTTTTTTTTGCTTTAATCTATTGTCCTTGGCCAGCTGCGTGGTGCTGGGACCCACCCACTCGTTCAGCTTGGGAATTAAGTGGAGTGCGATCCCATCCTTTCCTCTCCACCCTCTTCCAGGGCATTTAGTCACAAATCACTGGCTCGATGTGGAGCGAGTGGCCCGTGAGGATGGTGGCCTGTGGACCCCCGTGTTTTGGCTAGGGTGTGTGCAGGAGGGCAGGCGTAGGCATGTGCATCCACCCTCAGCTCATCAGCACCCCTCTCCTGCTGCAGCTCAGCCTCCCTCTTGGCTCACCTAGATTTTCTCTTCCAGCATCCCTATCCCCAGGGCAGAGTTATCCAGCATGGTCCTGCCTTGCTTTTGCCTCTTGGAGCTAAAGTCCTTCCTTTGCTAACTTCCTTCCCCTTGATGCCAAAAAGGGTCAGTCTTTAAAAAAAAAAAAAAATATATATATATATTTATAGTTCTACATATATAAAAATTTGGCAAGTAAATTCCAGGAAGTGCCAAGGAATTAATTGAATTGGGTGGAAATGATGTGAGAAAACAAGAAAAATAAACCAAACTGGAGGTGATGCGTTGCTGAATGGGTGGGAGGAAGGCTTCTCTGCCCCCAGCTGCCCCACTGCACTGCACTTGATCGAGGGCTGGGGGCTGGGGAGGTGCATGGTCCTCCCCGGCTCCGTCTGGGGGGGGGGGGGGAGGGTGCCCCCGTGCCTCGGGCTGGTGCGGGTGCATGTGTGGGTGCATGGCAGGAGTCCCCGTAGCCTGCAGGGAGCGAGGCTGTGCTTTCAGTGGGTCTCTGGGGGGGACACCTCACGCCTTTCGTTCTCTCTCTTCCTTTCTTCTTTATTTTTTTTTTTTTTTGTTGTTGTTGTTTTGTTTTGTTTTTAATAAAGAAGAATGCGGGGGATGCCATTTCTGGGCTGGGAGGCGGTGGTCACCGACACCGATAAAGCACCCATGGGTCCCTTTGCTGCCCTCTCGCCGGCCCAGACGCGTTAGCACGAGGGCAGAGAGATGCCGGCGAGCCTCAGCGTAACCTCAGCCCGCTTTTGGCACTGGCAGCCGGGATGGTCGTACTGGTGAGCAAGTCCTTGGGCTGCCAGCCAAGTGACCTGGGCAGCTCCTCCTCTTCAACGCCTTCCTCTTCGTTTTCTCCTCCCGTTGCAGTGAAGCCAGGCTGCGGGTTGTTTTGTTTTGGTTTTTTTTAAGTTTTTTCATTTTCCCCACCTCTTCTTCCCCTCTCTCAAAGGTTTTTCTCTCTCCTCTCTTCCTCTCCCTTTCTCTCTTGCCCCAGGCTACGCGCCAGTGACGGGGATGTGCCACCCGCTCCGAAGCTGCACCCTCAACCACGAAGATGGCTTCTCCTCGGCCTTTGTTGTGGCCCACGAGACTGGCCACGTGTAAGTTGTGGGGGCAGAGCTGGCTGTCCCCTTCGGAGCAGGGGCAAGCGTGTGCCGGTGACCCTTCCCTTGCCAAAGGGGCTTTCTGTTTGTGCGGGCGCACGTACCACCGCGGCGTGCGAGGGGCTGGTGTAAATTCCTCCCCCCCCCCCCCCCCCCGGGGAACCTGACTTTACACCAGCTTTTCTCACCAGGTTAGGCATGGAGCACGACGGCCAGGGCAACCGCTGCGCCGATGAGACCAGCATGGGGAGCATCATGGCACCGCTGGTCCAGGCCGCCTTCCACCGCTACCACTGGTCCCGCTGCAGCAAGCAGGAGCTCAACCGCTACATTCAGTAAGTCAGTTTTAAGCAGGAGGGGGATGTTCCCCCTTCAGACGACGTGACCGCCTGCATCTTGTCCTCAGGAGCTCCCGCCTGAAGCAAGCAGTGGGCAGTTCCCCACTGGGATTACTTGTTCTGGCCAGAATAGCAAAAACGGGTCCTTGGGAGGTTATTTCCCCTTTTTCTTCGACTGTCAGCTTTGGTTGTTCCTTGTATGAGTCTGAGTTTGGTTTTGGGCTGTGGAGGCTGGAGGCAAATAGGAGCCTGATAAAAGCTGGAGGCATCAACAGGGCAATAGTTTGCAGAAGCTCTGTGCTGGTGGAGCCCAGATCCAGATCTCAGATATTTTTGCCATTTGCTTTGGGCAGCCCGTGTGGTTTCTCCTTTAGGCTGTAAGATGTTTTGTGCTGCATTAAAAAAAAAAACAAACAAACCAAAAAACCGTGTAGGGCCAGGCCAGCAGCTTTCTGTGCGTTGGGGCTGAGAGGAGTGGCAGGAAAGCAGGTGGCAGTGGCAGGACCCACTAGTGCCAGGGTGCTCTGTCCCCAAGGGAGCTGCAGGCAGCGGAGGGCTGCTTCTCTTTGGGGGACCTTGCACAGCGGGCAACATGTTTTCCAGCAGTGGGTAGTTAGCATCAGCGCCAAGATAATTCAGATTTCTCAATATCTGAGTGTGGGGAGAGGGGAGGGGAGGGGTGAGGGAGGAGAATCCTCCATGTCTGGCTCTGCAGCTTTGCCTCTGCCCTGCATCTCTGCAGCTCCTACGACTGCCTGCTGGATGACCCCTTTGAGCACCAGTGGCCCACGTTACCCGAGCTGCCGGGCATTAACTACTCCATGGACGAGCAGTGCCGCTTCGACTTCGGGGTGGGCTACAAAACGTGCACGGCGGTGAGTATGGGTTGCACAGCCGCGTCGCCCCCCTACCCCAAGGACCCCCAGCTGGGTGCTGCGGGGGGTGAGGAGGGGTTGCTGCGAGCCTGCCAGGACCCCCCCCCCCCCCCCCCCGCCGTCCCAGCCCAACTCCTCTGTGCTCCCCAGTTCCGCACCTTCGACCCCTGCAAGCAGCTGTGGTGCAGCCACCCGGACAACCCCTACTTCTGCAAGACCAAGAAGGGGCCACCCTTGGATGGGACCGAGTGCTCTCCAGGCAAGGTAGGGGCTGGTCCCCTTGGGAGGGGACAGGGACACCCTTGAGGGCAGCGGTCGGTGGGTGCCTGTTTTTTTTTTTAGCTGGCGTTGCTCCTTGTTCTCCCCAGTTGGTGCTCAGATGAGGACTTCGTTTTCCTTCCGATCTGCCTGCTTCTGCAGAGAAGCAGGACTCCTTTTGTCACTTGACAAAAGAGCGATGGCATCGTTGCACGTCCAACCTCGTGATGTCACCGGGCTTTTACTTTAGGCTCTCTTAGCACGCCCGTTAGCACAGTATGAAAGTGTAGGTACGTTGGAAGAGCTGGTGGCCCACGCAGGTTTTGAGTAGTTCTGGGGCGTGACTGGGCATAAAGCATCCAACACCTTTTGATGAGTTTCTGTATAAATCCCAGCATTCTCTCTCAAAATGCAGACTCCTCGAGTGCTTGAGTGACGGTTTGCCAAAAGCTTCCAAACTGAGGCTTTTTGAAGCCCAGAAGTACAGATGTGTTACCCGTTTTGCTGGCATGTGTGGCTCCAGGGCACCGCAAACACCTGGGCTGGGAGCTCCACGGGACAGTCAGTGTTTTGCCCCTTTGGGGACCTTCCCTGCGCCTGGCGCGGTGGCCACCAAAGGCACTGTTGGCTTTTCCCCAGGGCTGGAGTTAAACCCTGGGTCTGGGTGCCCGCGGGGTGACACCGCAGCTTCGTGCCAGGCATTCTGCACGCACGTGGGAAGAAGTGCGGAGCTCTGGGGTGTCGTTTACCAAAATGCCCAGCAGCTCGCTCCTGTGCTCCGTGCAGAAGTTTGGGTTCATCCTCTCTGTGCCAGCGGGGAGACGTCCCCAGGGCTCATCCAGTCCTGGACCTGGGTCTAATTCAGTGCCTGCCCAAGGATCTGTGTGGGTAGAGAGAGGCTGGAGAGAGAAAACCGGTCCAGGAACTCAAAAATACAGTGTTGCTTGTGCCTTGAGCAGCCTTTTGCACGGGTTTGTCCTTCCGCATCCCAATCCCTCCAGCCGTGCAGCTTGTGTATCACGTCTGGAGCAAATCACCCCTCCTCTGTTGCCCGCTTTTCCAGCTATGATTTAAAAAACCAAAGCACGTGCGAATGAGTAAATCCCGGAGAAAAACATGAGAATATAACCCAGCTGCCAGCTTCCCAGCTGATGTAAACCACCGCTGTGCAGGCTCTTCTGTGCCAGATTCAAGCACAGATGTGTTGGGAGCCTGCCCTGCTTATTCCTGCTGTGGATCCTGGCCGTGGAGCTGTGCGGGGCTCTCAGAGCAAAGCCACGGGCTGCTTGTGCTCCTGAATGGGTCGTGAAATGATGCAGCTTGCTTATCTCCAAACCAGCTGGGAGGGAAGCCCCGGGGAGGCCTCCTGGTCCTGCTTCCGATGGGAGGGACGTGCTTGAGGGCGTGACGAAGAGCACCTTCCTCACGAGCCATTTTTTGGTAGTGCTGTGGGTGCAGGAGGGTTCTCTTGGCGGATGTGGAGCGCTTTGGAAGAGGCAGGCGTGGAGCTCACCCCTCTTGCTCCTCCCTTCCAGTGGTGCTTCAAAGGTCACTGCATCTGGAAGACGTCGGAGCAGCCTTACAGCCAGGACGGCAGCTGGAGCTCCTGGTCTAAATTTGGCTCCTGCTCCAGGACCTGCGGGGGAGGCGTGCGCTCGCGCAGCCGGAGCTGCGACAACCCGCCGTACGTTTGGCCCCCACCTCCCCCCCGCCCCCCCCCCAACTTTTAGCCCAGGGGGTAAAACTTGAAGCGGCCGAGAGCCACCGGTTCCTCGCTCATCCCCCCCGGAGCACTTGGTCGGCAGGGATGGGGACATCTGCCCCCAGGGATGGGGACATCTGCCCCCCCTGGGGCGAGCTGCGCAGTGCGGTTGGGCGCTGAGCTGCATCGCGTTTGAACAGCATCCTCCCCACGCCCCACCACCCCGATGCTTTTTTTTTTTAACCCACCTGCTTTATTTTCCAGCCCGGCGTACGGCGGGCGGCACTGCCCTGGAGCCACCTATGAGTACCAAGTGTGCAACACCGAGGAGTGCCCGGGGCCCTACCAGGATTTCCGTGCCCAGCAGTGCTCCAAGCGCAACTCCTACTACACTCACCAGAACAGCAAGCACTCCTGGCTTCCCTACGAGCATCACGACGGTGAGCAGAGGCGGGTCCTGGCAAAGGAGCAGTAGCCAGATTGCCTTCCCTCCCGGAGGAGGCCGCGCTGGTGGCCATCACCGTGGGATGGAGGCTGTGCCAGCTGCACAGATGTTGGGCTGTGGAGAGCTCCTGAGCTGGAAACTAGAGCGCAATAAGCCAGCATCAAGCAGCCAGGACTTTAAAATCAATCTCTTGTGTCACGTAGAGAAACCCAGACTGGTTCCCGCTGCCTCAAGGCATAGCAGGGGTGGGCTGAGGAGATCAGCCCATGTTGAAACTTCTCCCTGCTCCTCCTGTGCTAGTAAGAGGAGACCCTCTTGTAATGGTAGCCAGAGATAATTCTCTTTCCGCCCCTTTACATGTTTTATCTCCGCTTTCTGTGTGCTTTGGCACGCAGAGGACTTGTTTTGGGTGGAGGTGGTGGGGTGACGGCGCTGGCTGCTCGCTCCCGGAGCTGCAGTGGGGAGCGTGCTGCTCCGGGCTGGGATGGGAGCCAGGTCTGCCTGCCTGCCTGCCCTGGTATTCCTCGTGCACACAGCCGAGCGTCTTGCGTTGCAATGTCACATAGCGTGCCCCGTCCAGTCTCTTAGTTTCCCGAGCGTGCTGGGCAGGAGTGCAGACTCTTGAGCAGCAAAAGGATGAGGGAAAATAAAGCACACGAGTAGCCTGGGCTTTGGAAATCTGGCTGTGCTCAGGGGTACAAGCTGAGATGGGTTTCTAGCTTCAATCAGCCTAATGTATTCCCACAACCCGCTTTTCCCCCCGCCCCTCTTTTTCCCCTTTGCTTTTTATTTTGCCGTAGATGCTCAGAAGTGTGAGCTGATCTGCCGGTCCGAGGGAACGGGGGACGTGGTGTTCATGAATCAGGTTGTCCACGACGGTACCCGGTGCAGCTACCGAGACCTCTACAGCGTCTGCGTCCGGGGCGAGTGCGTGGTGAGGAGCTGACGGCTGCTGCGTGACTGTCCCTGTCCTTTGCCTGTCCAGGAGAGAGCTTCTGCATCCCCCTTGACCCGCTGCCCCTTGGGGGACGCCTGTTTTAGCCTGGGGACCGACCCCGCATGCAGCAAAGGGCTGTGGGGACGGCGAAGCGATGGGCTGGGCTACAGGGGTGTAACCCCGTGCTCGTTTTCTCTTCCCCGCGGGTGACAGCACGTCGGCTGTGACAAGGAGGTCGGCTCCCTGAAGCAGGATGACAAGTGTGGGGTCTGCGGGGGGGACAACTCCCACTGCCGGACGGTGAAGGGCACGCTGGCCAAGACCCCCAAGCAGCTGGGTGAGCGGGCTGGGTGGGCTCGGGGGTGGATTCATGGTCAGGGTCAGCTGGATTCACGTGTGGGTGACAGCGGGCGGGCGTCCATTTGGAACAAACCTGTTCTTTCTCTTCCCTCCTCCCTCCCTCCCTCCCTTTCAGCAGGTGTTTTGAAGATGTTTGAGATTCCAGCGGGGGCGAGGCACCTTCAGATAGAAGAGGTGGAGCCGGCCTCCCACAGCATCGGTGAGTGCGCCGTAGTCCACCTCCCCCTTCACCCGCTACCCTTTTCTTGGCCCTATTCTGACAATTCCCACCCAAAGGGTCTTATTTGGGTCATTCCAGTCCTTCAAAGGCAGTGACCAGAGGAAATGACGTTGAAATGCCTCCTTTCTCCTCCAGCTGTTAAGAATCAAGCCACGGGTAACTTCATCCTTAACGCCAAGGGCAGAGAAGCCAAAAGCCAAGTGTTCATTGAGATGGGCTTGGAGTGGGAATACACCGTTGAACATGGCAAGGAGAGCCTGAAAACCAGCGGTCCTCTGCACGAGGCCATCAGCGTTTTGGTAAAACCTGGCTGACAGGTCCCCTGGGGGTGTTGGGGATGACCGTCACCCAGCGGTGCGGGGAGGGAAGGTGGTCTGAGGTGGTATTGTAGGTGGTGATGGAAGGACTTTGGTAGAGCAAGGGTGTAGGGCGTGTCATTAAAACCGGGGAAATGAGCTAGCCAAAAGCAAGGGGCAGCGAGCTGCGTGCAAGAATTGGCGCAGGGACGCCTTGCTCGGGTGCTTGCCTTTGAGTCCAACGGCATTTTGCTCTCTGCAGCAATTGCTTATGACTCCACGTCTCACTTCAGTTATACCGGTGTTTGGCGGGGTTAGGGATTGGGTTCCCTGGGCACCCAGGGTCTGCACTCCTGTCCGTCCCCATGGCAGGCGCTGGATTTGGGCGCAGGTTGTGGTCCTGCAGGTCAGAGGAGAGGACAGGTACGTTTCTGAAGGGTGGACTCTGTGTTGAGAACCCACCTAACCATGTTGGAGCTAGTAACAGGGTCTGTTTCTCCTACTCTTGTGTGCACTGTACCACATGGTCATTGTTCACTTCTTTTTTTCTTTGATGGCCTCCTCTTCCCTTCCCTCTCCCATGGCATCATTCCTTCCTCTCCTTCCCCCTCTCTCTGATCGTCCTTTCTCTGCCTGCAGGTCATCCCTCAGGAGGAGGAGGCGAGGAGCAGCCTGATGTACCGCTACATCATCCACGAAGACCTGCTGCCCGTGATCGGAAATAACAACGTCCTGCTCGAGGAGATGGATTCCTACGAGTGGGCCCTCAAGAGCTGGTCTCAGTGCTCCAAGGCGTGCGGAGGAGGTAGCTTTCCCTTCATAGCAGCTGACAGCGTGTGCTTGGGAGGATGCTTGGGTATGTTGGGCAGTGCCTGAGCCCTCTGGGGCATCTCTGTCTTGGAAACATGCTCTTTTAAAGCGTTTCTTGACAAGATTACATGTCACAAGGCTTTAGACCTAGACCTTACTGCTTGGAGGCCTGGCTTTCTTCTTACCCATGTTCTTCAGACCTCTGTAATTTGAGGGGGTCTACCACCCAAATATGAGTGTTAAAAACTACTGTTGCAGAGCAGTTTAGGTAAGCATTTTAGACAATATTTCTTATGAAAACAGGCTTATGTAATCGTGTGTGCATACCTTTCTCTGTCTATCCAGGTACCTGCTATGATTTTTTTGAATTCCTTGGCTGTTTTTAACTGGATCTGAGCCAAGGAGTGATGATCTTGCAGGTGACCGCTCCTAAAGCTCGCGTGGAAATAGGTGTGGACGCACCAGTAGGTGCTGTGACGGAGGGCAAGGTAGCACACGTGAGCTCCTTGGCAGAGCTATTGCTGGATTTTTCCCTCTGGGGGCCAAGCACGTGTGCCCACACGCTGGCGTTGCGGGGTTTGCCGATGAAAGCCTTGCCTCCGTAGGGCCAGTGGGATCTGACTTCGAAGCTGGCCCTGCTCTGAGCAGGAGGTGGGCCAGAGACCTCCAGAGGTCACTTCCAACCTTCCACCTTGCGCCTGGCCAGCTCGGGGCTGGAAGATTTTGGGACTTGCAGAGCTGGGAAGCGATCTCTCGCTGGCTCCCCGGACCTTGCTGCGGCACGGCTCCCAGCAGCGTGGCAGACCGCTCCTGGTTAAGGCTGGCTTAGCCCCGGGCTGGTCTGCTCCCAAGCAAGCACAGCTTATTTGGCAAATTATAGCGGTGCTTTGGCTGGGCTTGCGATGCGCTGCTTTTTCCGCCCCCCCCCCCCCCAATCTGAAGAAATAAACCGGAATCTGTAGCTTGCTAAGTGCTCCTGGCTGTGTCTCCAGCGGGAAACTCGTGTCTCGACCTGGGTTTGTGGGAGAGCAGCGTGAGGGAAGGCTGAGTCTGCTTTGTCCCTCTCTGTGTGTGCACCCCACAGCAGCCTGGGTGACCCCAGGAGGCTGGGGGGAGGGTGGGGTGTGGGGGGGTGGTCTAGCACCCCCAGGAGCACCTTTTGCAAGCCTGGGTGAAGGACCGCTTGGGTCCCACCTGAGCGGTGACACCCGAGAGCGCGCATCCCAGTAGGGATGCAGGAGAAGGGACTGGATGGGGAGCTGGCGGGACCCCCCCCCCCGCCCCATACCCACTGCCTTACCGCCCGTGCTCTGTCCCCCCCACTCCCCCAGGCATCCAGTATACCAAGTACGGCTGCCGGCGGAAAAGCGACAACCGGATGGTGCATAGAAACTTCTGCGACAACGGCAAGAAGCCGAAGCCGATCCGGCGGCGCTGTAACCTCCAGGAGTGCTCCCAGCCAGCGTAAGCCCCCCCCCCCCCCCCCCCTCCTGCCTGGCCTGGGGTGCTCTCATCCCTTCTGGGGTGGGGTGCTATTTGGGGCTGCGTTGGGAGTGGGCCGGCCCCTAACACCTTCGCCTTGTTTGTTTTTCGCCCCCTCCCTCCCCTCCCCGACCCCTCCACGCCGGGCAGCTGGGTGGCCGAGGAGTGGGGTGCCTGCAGCAGGTCCTGCGGCAAGCTGGGGGTGCAGGCGCGGGCGGTGCAGTGCGTGCAGCGCCTGCGGGACGGCACCAACCGCACCCTGCACACCAAGTACTGCCCTGGGCAGCGGCCCGAGACGCGCCGGCCCTGCAGCCGCCTGCCCTGCCCTGCACAGTGGAGGACGGGTGCCTGGTCGGAGGTGAGCTGGGGGCAGGGGAATGGGGGGGGGGAGAAAGCCTAACCCCCCCCCCTCCCCACCCCGCCAGCCGCACGGCGGGGTTGGGAGGAGGGGTGTAGGGACTGGGTGTGAAGGCCAGGGTGCTCATAGGGCAGGCTGGTCTCCTAGGGATGGAGATGAGGGTGCAAGAGCCGGTGATGTTTTCAACGAGGTTGGTGGGAAAAACTCCAAATGAGACAGGGGATAAGCATCCCTGTGCACCCCGGCAGAGAATGGGGAGGGGGGCGTTGCTGGAGACGGGGAGGGAAAACCCTTATTGGAAAGCCCGGTACCCACCCACAGAGTTGCCATCTGCAAATACTTACAAATGTCCCTCCGGGGTGGCTGTCGGGGCGTGCCGGCTCCCCTCCCCACCACTGCTGACAGCTCGTCTGTCTGTCTGTCCGGGCGCAGTGCTCGGCGAGCTGCGGGGAAGGCGTCCAGCAGCGGCAGGTGGTGTGCAAGGGCGGCGAGAGCGGCGGGCACTGCGAGGGTGACAAGCCGGAGGCCGTCCAGGGCTGCCACGTGGCCCTCTGCCCGGGTGAGAGGAGGAGGAGGAGGAGGAGGAAGCACGTGAGATGGTGGGGGGCGTGTGCCCGCAGGGACCAACCTTCACGCGTGCCTCCAGCCCGTCTCGGCTTCGGGAGGATGCCAGCAAAGAAGGACGGGTTGAACGTTCCCGATGCTACTGGCAGAGAAAGGGTTAAACGCCAGGCAAAATATTGCATCTTTTTTGTTCTCGGCCCTGATATTTGCTGGGTTGGGTTTTCTGGCAGCTAGGAGATGCGATGAGCTGAGGGTACCGTGGAGGTGGACACCCTGGAGTTCATCTTGGGGGGGTTTTTTGGGTGGCTTAAGCTCTGGGCCAAGTGGGTGCTCCCCAAGGGACCTTGTTTTTAAGAAGATCCCTTAAAAGAAAGAAAGAAAAAAAAAAAAAAATCCCCTCCCCGAACACCCTCCTGAGGTATTTTGAGTGCCCTCAACCTCCTGTGGCAGCTGGGCATCGTGGTGCTCTCTCCGCAGGGAAGCTCTCCGGCGTCACCGCCGGCGCCGGGGACCACGGTGCACCCAAAGGGCAGCGGGTGCCCCAGGACGGGGCCAAAAACCCTGTTAGCAAGATCTCCTCCAGTAAGTGTCCCTGCTCGGGGTGAGGGGTAACCCTCCTCCCCGGGCGCGACGCGGGCGGGTCAGGGGGAGGGTGCACCTCCAGCAGTGATTTTTGGGGAGTTTTACCCTCTGCTGCTGCATCCCCGACGCCTCTGCCTGCCGCTCGGTTGCCATCTTGTGGAGCCTGTGATCTTACAGTTTCCACTGCCTTTGACTGGGCACCGTGCTGTGCTCCCCTTTGCCTCCCGGATTTCACACCCTTTCCTTTTGCCCTTGAACTTTTTTCAGCCTCCTCTGTTTACCCAAGCAGGGAGATGACTCCTGGCTTCCGTCTCTTGATTCGTAGCTGGGGTGAGGCGCATCGCGATCTGATTTAAGATGGTGGTTTGGAGCATTCCTCACTCTTGTTTTTTTCGGCACAAACCCCGAGCGCTCCAGCTTCGTTTTTCACCCCTCCCTTTCCTATACAAGCGTTGCCAAAATTGCCTCCCTGGGGCAGAGAGAGGTGGTAGGTTTGGCAGACACCTCGTTGCCTTTGGGACCGTCGGAAAGGAGCAGGGGTGGGAGCAGAAGGCCATCTTCATCTTCCGTGCTGTTTAACGCTGCTCTTGTCCCTCTCCAGGGGAGCCTTGCCTCGGGGACAAATCCATCTTCTGCCAGATGGAGGTCCTGGCTCGCTACTGCTCCATCCCCGGCTACAACAAGCTCTGCTGCGAATCCTGCGGCAAGAAAGCCTCCTCTGCCACCGGCTTGCCCCCCGCCACCAGCCCCAGTGCCCCCCCGGGATCCGCCGCTCCCAGCCCCGCTCTGCCGCTCTCCCCCCGTCCCACTGCCCCTGCCCGGGGGGCACCCGGGGGGGACCCCACCCCGGCACCTCAGGCGGGTGGAGGGATGCCTGGCAGCGGTGCTTTCCCTGGGGGGCTGCCAGCCCCCAGCGAGCTGGGCAGGGGCCAGGCAGCCAGGTAACCCACTCGGTTCCACCTTGCCGAGGGGCAGGGGAAGCCTTTCGCCTCCCTCCCTCCCTCTCTCTCCTCTCCCCCCTTTTTTTTCCTCTTCCCCCTCACCATTTCCAGTGATGGTTTTCACAGCTGGCGCTGCCAGGTTTGGAAACAACTTGGCTCACCCAGAAATTCCCGGGAAAACCACTTTTTGTCTCATGATCCTCCCCCGGCCTTCCCAGCTGTGGCACGGTTGGGTTTTCTTTTTTTTTTTTTTTTTTTTTTTTTGACAGCGCCACAGCAAAAAGGTGAAAAGGAGCGAAAAAAAGCAACAGCGGCTTGGCTGCAGGTAGACAGGTTGCTTCCTCCCAAGGTGCTAAAAAGATTTGGGGGGGAGGGATTTAATGTTGCTTTTTGCTTCCCCCTGCCCTAACTAGCAACACAAGATGTGCTGGAGAGGAGGGTCCCAGCTCGGCGGTTCAGCCCCTGTGCTGAGAGCTTGGGGGTAGCAATGCCAGGATGCTGGGGATCTCGGGGGGGCAAGCAGCCCGAGATGTGATTGGGGTGGCGGGTTAGAAACATTGGGAAATGCCCAGACTGCTGCCCTGGGCTGTCGCTGTTGGGGTAGAGAGTTTGGGAAATGTGTCTGGGGGAAGACAGAGCGTGAAAACCGTAGAGCAGGTTCTGTCCTGCGTGGTGGGATAGGCAGGAGATGGTCCAGGCAACTCTAACACGAGCAATAAGGACGTGGTCGAAGACCAAATATACATGTAAAAAATGCCTGTCACCTGGTGGTGACTTTTTAGCCAATGCTGCCCTTAGCCAGCCTTGAGCTGATAGCGATGCCCAGCCTCCCCAGGGCCACCAGCCTCATCCCTGCACCCTTGTACCCAGTGCCTGTGGGGCATCAACACTTTCGGAGGGAAATGGGGACAACTGGGAAGCCGGGAGCGGATTTTAGGGGCAGTTACAAAGACAGGAGAGAAGCAGATTCATCTGCGTCTGTTTTGTCGCGTAGGAGGCGGGGGTGAAAGTGGGCTGATTAATGCTGTTAAAAAAATTATTGTGCCAAGTACTAAACACAAGCACAGCACTTTAGGAGCCTAGGTCTGCGTGCGGCTTGCGGGGTGTGTCAGGCCAGCTCCAGGCACAGGGTCTGCCAGGAGTTACAGTCCTCAAAGCCCCCCCGGAGCGGGGTGCAGGCAGCCTGCTGTGGCCCGCAGGGGTGTCCCCGAGGGGGCTGCCGTGGTTTTGGTGCTTAGGGCTGGGCAACCTCCCAGCTGTGAGGGGGGTCCAGCACCTCCAGGTTGTGGTGGCAGAGGGAGGTGGGCTCCGGTGGGGGATGAGCGCTGGTAGGGAGGAGGTTTTGGGGACAGAGAAGGGGGAGTCCAAGGAAGGTGAGGTTTGACAGATGGACCGGTTGGGCGTGTGCTGGGGAGCCCGTGGGTTTTAGGGCATGCTGCTGGACGAGCCTGGTGCTGTCGGTGCTGGGAGAGAGCGCTGCATCGACAGCGCTCGTGTAGCTGCAAGGAACTTGAGGTTGGGGCATCTCGGAGGAGCTTGCGTCGACGTGCAAGCTCCCCTCGGCCTTCGCTGGTCCGGCGTGGATTGCAGCAGGGGAGATGTTGAAGGACACACTTTAATTGAAATGAATGGAGATCCCCGCGCGTTCCCGGTGGTTTAAGCATCAGACTCCGTCTGCAGCGCTCCCCTGGAGCTACCCAACAGTACAAAAAGGGCTGAAGAGATGTTAAGAGGGCAGCTTGGGCACCCTCCTGCCCCCAGAATGCCTCCGAGTCCAGGCTGGATGAGCGTCTACGGAGCTACTCCTAAAAGCACCTGAGGCTGGAGATCCCCTGCCTCCGGGGTGCTGCCCTTGGGCGTTAAGTGAGCTTCAAAAAGACAGAAGAGCCACGCATCTGCCTGAGCCGAGCAGCCTCGGGGGAGCAGGCAGACGGGGGGGGGGGGGCTGCCTACCAAACGCTGCGGCGGGGTGCCCAGCTCCGAGGCGTGCAGGTGTGGGTATCAGCGAGATAACTGTGGGCGCAGAGGGGCTGGGGGTCACCCCTCGGACTGCTGCCACCACGGCCGTGCCCCTTGGGCCAGCCCCGCCACCCGCCCGCGGGAGTGCCAGCATTTATTTATCGTGCCAAAGATAACGCTTCGTTTACTCTTCAAGGGGCAGCTCTCCCCCAGAGGTGCGGGGGGCCGGGAGGACTGGGGCCCGGAGCAGGCTGTGCCTTGGAGGCGTTGAATAAAAGACAAAACCTTCCACGTCCCCCTCCCACCCCCTCCAAAAAAACGGGCTGTGATGGCTGCAGGGCGCAGTACATGTGCATAGGCGTGCTCACTTTTTCCTCCCAAATTCTCAGTTGTACCCCTCCCTTCAGTGCTGTCCTGGGCATTAGTCCTTTATTGCATAAGGGACATTTGCAGTGGTTCCTTGTGATACCTAGGAGGAGAGCTGTGGCTCAGGACCGGCCCAGCACCCTGCAACCAGGGTCCCCGAGGTGGGGAAGGGGTCTTTGGTGCAAGGGGGCTGAGCTGCAGGTGCTAACCCCTGCCTCTAGCCAAGAGAGGCGGGCAAGACTTAAAGCAGGGTGTGATAAAACACCCCCCCCTCCCCTCCCATCTTTGCCCCATGTGTTGTGCTCTGGGTGGGGGGGGGGGTGATGCTGCCGGGCTGGGACCCAGCACTGGGTATTTATTCCAGGTGAGCACAAGAAGCGCCTCAGGCAAGCTGAGGTTGGGTTGCTTCTCGCCGTGCTGATGCCACGGTGGGTGGAAAGCTGTCGCGTGGGGATGTAGTGATGCGATGGCCCAGCTCCCAGCAGGGATTTGGTCCTGTCTCCGGGAGGAGAGGGTGCATCTGGTCCCCCGTGTCCTTCTGGGCTGGGCGGACGCACCAAGTCATTCCTGTGATGTGGCCTTGTCCAGTGTTGTTATGATGTATAAAGTTTTGTACATACGAGATTCAGAGCTTTTTAACTTTTAATATTTATTAATTTTGTTGGGTTCTCTTTTTTTTTTTTTTTTTTTGAACTCTAACATAATGTAAAAAAAAAAAAAAATCCACATCAAAATCTCTTTCTGTTGATTTATTTGTGGGATGGGTGTGTGAAGGGGGGGAAATGTGTTACCTGTGTGTGGTTGTTGAAATGGTTTTCACACAGTGAGTCACCACCTCTTTGTTTTATTTCAACCCAGCCAGCCCTCTTTATCAGCCAGAATTTCACATAGTTGGTTTGAGATGATTTTTTTTTTTTTTTTCCCCCCCTTAATTAAGCCAAAGAGCCAGGAAAACCCACAGATGTATAAATCACAAGCACTCTGCAATGGTTATAATAACATTTCATGACACCCAGCTGCTCGGCTTCACTCTTGCAAGGCTTGTATCTAACTGTGGTTGGCAGCGGCTTTGTGGCACAAGATGCTTGTTCCCAGGGGGCAGGATAATATCGGGATCTCTGGATCCATCCCTGCTGCTGCAAAGGTCTGGGGATCTCCTGGAGATCCTCCCAGGACAAAACCCACTGGGGGTTTTACCAAGGTCCATGTCTGCAGTGAGAAGCTCCTGTGGACGCGTGGGCCTGGAGGACAGGGTGCTGTGTGATGGGTTTGGGGGGGCTGAGTCCCACCCTGCTGCTGCTGGTCTCCGCGAGCTGCTTTCTCTCTTGCCTTGCCACCTCCTCGCACGCTGCAGTACCCTAAGTCAATTGAACTGATGGTGAAAAGCACATTTCTGGCCCCACACACCTCTTCCTGAGATGTGGTTTAGCGCCGTGAGCCTGCTACTGGTGGCATAGCAGGAGAAAAAGCTCTGTGAACATGCGTAGGTACACACAGAGAAATACATAACTTAGCCATTGCAAAAATAAATAAAATGTGTTACTGGTTCAGGCCAAAAAGAGCTCCTGAGCTTGCACTGACAACTGATACCACTGGCAGGTAATAAATGATGAAACCATGGCGGGGCTGAAGCTGCAGAACAAACCTCACCAGTGGGCAGCGATGCCCAACGTTGGGGTGCGTTTGGCCAGCCACCCCCTTTCCCCTGTGCACGGCGGGGAGGAGTGATGCCCAACAGCAGCCCCTACGGCCGTGCACGGGCGAGGTTTGGGCAAAGATTTAAGCAAACCCCTACCGCCAGGCTAGGGGGTGCCTGGCTCGCCCCGGCTTGCGGATTCTCCGCTCCATCCCCAAAGCAGAAGCACGGTGAAGGGCGTCCTCCCTCCTCGGGGTTGCTCTGTGGGTGCACCGCCTCGCCCCGTCGCTGGTGGAATGAGCAGGGGTGGGAGCGGGTCTCCAGCTCAGGCCACATCCCTCGTGCTCGCCCGGAGGCTCAGGGGTGTGAGGTGGCAGAGAGGTGCTGGCGGAGGTGCTCGATGAAGTCTGCTTGGGACTGCGGCAGGACACGGTTAATGACAGACGTGGGGATCCAGCCCTTTGGGAGAGAAAACACCCCAAATTTGGTCCCACTGGGACAAGGAGAGTTGAGGTGCCCATCCCAGGGAGGAGGGTGCATTTGCACCCTGGGATGTGTACCCCCTTGCTGTTCCACCCCCAAGTAACACGGTGGCACTTGCCTTCAGGTCCATGCTGAGGAGCCAGGTCAAGTGGGTACGGCTGGGGTCCCCCGCCAGCGGCTGCAGGACGATGCAGCTCAGCCGGGACTCGGCTCTGCGGTGGGCAGGGGAGCAGGCAGTTAGGGTCCACCTCACAGGGGAAAAAAAAACCCCCAAAAACCCCCAAAACCCAACCCCAAAATGGGGGTAAGGAGATCCAAAAGCAAATGCAGCAGGGAGGTAGCTCTTGGCGCGCCTCCTTTCGCTGTGCCCAGTGCAGCGGTGGTCTCCTCACTGCAGGGATGCGATACCCCATGACAGTCACCTTTTTTTTTTTTTTTTTTTTTTTTTTTTTTTTTTTTTGTGTGTCTTTACCTGATGCACCCTTCCTGCAAGGGCAGCAGCTCGACGTGGGTGGCAGTGCCCACCAGGTAGACGGCCGTGTCCCTCCTCCCGCGGTGCCGCACGCTGACGAAGTCCCGCTGGCCCACCACGTTGCCCGGGCTGGGAGCGGTGACTTCGTGTGTCACCAACGTGTCCCTCCCAACGTGCTGCAGCACCTACCAGAGCAAGGGGCACCCCTGGGGATTAGGCTCCTTGTGGCTGCCCCTCTGAGGATATCCCTGCCACCCCCTTACTCCTGCCCAGGGGACATTAAGCCATCCTGGGGACAGCAGCGCGGGGTGGCAGCGTGAGCAGAAGCAGCAGCAAGGCTCATAAGGGGGAAAGCGGGTGATTTTTGCAGCATCTTTTAATCTGGGATGGGACTATCTCTATGTTATTTCTTTTTTCGGAAGGGACGGGGAAGTGTTAGCAATGACTAAGGAGAGGCTGGGTAGCATCTGATCCAGCCCAGGTGTCCTCGGGGAGGCTTTCTGAGGGATCTGCTGTGATTTAGGAGCTGAGGAATAAGGCAAATACCCAAAAGAAGCCCAAAACAACACATAAGATTCCCGGGGGGTGCCCCTGCAGCGTGATATATTTGGTTTTGCCTCTTTTTTTTTTTTTTTTTTTTTTTTGAGCTGTCTGATTCCCCTGAACAGCTTCTCCCCTGACATTAAAGTCTGAGCAATGTCAGAGTCCACCAGCGCAGAAAAAACCTCCGTGAACAAGCACTGTGCGGAAAAGAGAGCTTGGAAACGACACGTTTCTCAATGCCACACCAGAAAAGCACATCTTCTCTCCCTGGGGTGACATCCCGCTCTTGCAGGAGTGCGGCATTAGCTTTAACCCTTCAGCAATCCCAAGAACCTCAATAAATATGATTTTTTTGGGATTCTAGCAACCCTGGTGATGCAAAACCTCAGACTGTTTGCCCGCGATGGCCATCGCTCGCCGTGCCTGCGGCGCATCCCTCCCCACCTTACCTTCACCCGGCTGACGGTCGGGTTCCACTGGGGCATTTGCTCGATCCTCTCGAAGAGCTCCTGGTGCAGCCGGGCCACCGGCACAGCCAGGACCACCTCTGCCCGAAACACCTTGCCCAGCCCGGGGAGGGCGGCACTGGACACGGTGGCCCCGCTGTCCTGGGAGAACAGGGAGCCAGTGTCAACCCCAAATGTCTTGAGAGGCCCAGGCTACCCGCTAAAATGCCTTGCCTATAAATCATCCCAGTCCTCTTTTCAATTACTGCTTGGTTTACAGGTGAAAGCTGTTATATCTAAATCGTGCCACTAGTATTTTTTTTTTTTTTTTTAAGCTCCTTTCTAGCTAAATTAAACAATTCAGCAAACAATGCACAAACACCATAAATAACAACAAAATCACATTCTGCCTGTTTTTTTTTCTGTGGAAATGCTTGTGGCTTTCCCCAGGAACATGATTATCTGAGTTTCTCCTCCCAAGTTTTTAACTGCTGTCTATTTACTTTGCAGATTCGCTTACGAACGTGCTTAAGGAAGGCTTGCTTGGAAACCCTCTTTGCTGTGCATTTTTTTGTGTGGCACGCCTCCTGCGCCCGCTGTTTCCCTTCAAGCAGGAGGAGTAAGAGGACCAAATCTCCCCTCCCCAGACTCATTTCTCCTCCCGAGAGCTTTTCTGGCCTGAAGCAGCAAAGGCAAGCAGCGGGGGGGCTTTACCAGCAGCGTTTCTGCCTGCCAACTGGTGTGCTGCTGCAGGATACTCAGCGCTTGCTGCAGGGCTGTTTCTCCCTGGGTGATGTAGGAGAGGTCCACGCTGGAGAATCGTCTTGGGTTGGCGTCCCCGTCAAGCTCTGGGCACGTGGCTGGAGGAGCAAGGCAGAGCAATGTGAAAAGACATCCCCCCCCCCCCCCCCCCCCAGCTTTACGTGGGGGTACAGGCGTGCAAATGGAGCTGGAGCGGAGGGGTTCGCTGACCCCTAGTCTTAGACCACCACGTCCACCACACATCTGGTCCCCTCTTGGGCTGGGGGATGGCTTGGTGCAGAAAACTTTGCTCTCAGGAGCATCCCTGGCACTCATTCGCTGCGTCTGTGCTGACTGCTTGGAAAGCTTTCTGAAATTGCTTTCCAAATCAATTCCCAGTAACACTGTGGTACAAATTGCACGCGGCTTGACTATTATTAACATTGCATAGGCAGCCTTTGGACCAAGCCACGCTTCAAAAAAACCAGATGAATTTGCCAATTTTCAAGTCTTTAGGTAAGTGGTGGAACTAGAGACGTGGCAGACATACAACAAAACACTGGGAAGCGCCTGTAACCCCTGCTAAAAGCTCTGGCTGTCTGTACGGTGAGCCAATGCGATTTGCCTTCCCAGAATCTCAGGGTCTCCTGCTAACCCAGTTTGCCATCCATACGGGGAATGCTTTTCAGCTACCAGAGAGCTGGAGATCAGCCCAGCGGTGAGATGATGATTAACCCTCTCCCCCAAAATAGGGGTCAAATCATGTGGAGAGGGGTGCGTTTTAATACACGTCCCTCCGCCGCGTGTTGCAAGGGGGTCATGGGCAGGGCTAGAAAACGCGGTTGGTAGCCCAGCGACAGAGCTTACCTGTCTCCTTCCCCATCAGCCTCTGAATATAATGAGGAATTTTGGAAAGCGGGCGACGGGATCCTCTTACCACCAGCCCCCCGACGTCGTTCTGGATTGCCGCAACGGCTGTTGTCTTCAAGCCTAGGGGAGAGACGCGCCGGGCTTCGGTGAGCACGGAGCGCGTGAGGAAGACGCTGCCGTGCCCCGCTGGAAGCTCATTTGCCGCCCAGGCCAAGGCTACGCTCCCCACGACACAAACACGGGAGGAAAAAGAGGCGGGTAGATGATGTGACATTTCCCAGGGGTCCCCTCCCAAGGGGATGCCCAGCAGTTGCGGACTTAGCATCTCCTTCAGGACCCGCTTTCCCGCCTGGTTTTCCTGAGGTTGGGGAAGGGGAGGGGGGGTTTGGGCCGGGGTTGTTTGGTGAGCAGTGCTTACCGGGCAGGCGGCGGAGGTGGTCGTGGGCGATGCCGCAGCAGAGCTTGACGGTGGCCCGCAGCATGGCGCGGGAGCCGGGCTGCCTCCGGGAGCGCGCCGCATCCCGCCGCGCTTTTCTAGCCCGCCCGAAGGACGGCACCTGATGATAGGACCACGCCACCAGATAGCAGCTGGGAAGAAGGAGTACTCAAGGACAAGGCGAGCGAGAGGAGGGGCTGGAGGGAAAGGCCACGCTTCCCTCTGAATGAGCAGTCCCTGCCTTTCCCCCCTGCCCCGGGAACGCGTCCTACCGCTGCTTTTCCTGCCCCCCAGCTGCTTTTCCTGTCCCCCGGCCGAGACGGGACACTTCAGTGGTTCCCAGAGCCACTGCGGTGGCAAACCCAAGCTGGCAAAGGCACTCGCGTGGAGGGGAGGATGTGGTGGGGGTTGAGAGCAATTGGCTTTGCTCTCAGGGAGCTGCTGTTAAAGCCATTCTCATGCAAAATGGTGCTTCTTCCTATGGAATCTTCTTAGAAGTTGTGGTGGTAGTCGCCGCTGATGTAACTCCTTGGGTAACTCCTTATTTTCCTCTTTCCTACTTTTCTTCCTCCCAATCGTCCCCTGCAGACCTCTGTTGCTCACGGTGACGGCGGGACCGCTACATCTTTTGGCATGAAGTTATTCAGTCCTCCCCCTCTTCTTTTTAATGACCCCTCTTAAAAGGTTAAACACAAAACCTACTTAGGTCACTCCTTAAAATACAGCCACACTGTATTCCTCTGGCCCTTTGCAACACCTGCTTTTTGAAGGGCTTTGAAAACCCTGCTTGATTTTCACCCCGGAAAGGCTATTCCACCCCTATGTAGCCAGGGGGTCGGGTGCTTCTGTTTCACACAGCATCACTACAGCTCACTTTACCTCCAGTCTCCGAGGCTGAAACAGCTAAAATAGTTGGTCAAAGAGTCCAGGAGGGCTTTTGGGCTTTAAAAGGGAAAGGAAAGGCTTCAAGGCTTGCAGCCTGGGGGGGTTGTGGCCAGTGGGTTTCTTGCTGGGATGGGAACAGTCCTTCCACAGCTGCTGTGCAAGCAGCTGCCTGTGGACCCCTGTGCCTGAGGCTGTCACGGTGGTGACGGGGACAGTCTGGAGAAGCTTTACAGTATTGCGTGCTGCTTTAATAAACGTATTAGTAGGATTGGAAAAGCCTGTGGATGGCTTTTGGTCTTGGCAGAATAACCGCGGTGGAGGGTAATTGAGTAAATAGGAAGAGCAGTGGCAGGAAACTACTGTTTTCACCCAAAGAGTTAAATATGGTGATTTGCCCTTTCTAATTCATCGTGCTGGGTCCCTTTAGGTGAGCGCTCGCTCCCAGGAGCAGCCACTCACTGGTGGGGTCACCCTTGCAGCCCACCCGGCACCCCAGCAGCAGCCCCTGCCCCTGGGGGGAGATGGGGCAGAGCAGGAGCTTGTCCCCGTGTCACCCTTCACAGCCTCGTCCCACCCAGGACCTGGGGGCTCCAGCTGTCTCTCCAAACACCTTCTGCGCTGCTAATATCTCTTTTCCTATAGCAAGCACCGCATCCCTTCAATACTCCCGCTATTAGCAGGGATGGAGTGGGTGAAACAGTTTCCTAGGAAAACTTCAGCTCTTTTCCGCATGGGTTTTGGCCATGTTGTGCCAGAGGGTTTTATCCCAGCCCTGTGGGCTTGCTGGCTTGGCTCAGCCAGGTTGTAGGCTGATTTAGCAGCCCCAACTCCGAGCTTTTTGTGGCGGCTTTTCCTGCAGGGATAACCCCGTGGTTTGCACAGCTGTGTCCCGTTGCAGCTTTGGAGCTTTCTCCCTCCATTCCTGATCGCTGGGCAGGATTATAACAACAGCCCCCTGCCAGCTGCTGCTCCTCAGGTGCTCTGCTGCTTATTTGCAGTCTGCTCCAGGGTGACTTCGCATGCGGTGGTCAACCAAATAAGTGCCTGTGTGCATGCCCTGTGCTTGCAGGAAAGCCTTGCAGATATCCCAGGGTGATGCGCATGGTCCAAAGCAGCAGCAAGCTTTGTGGCAGGGGTTTGGGAGGTGCATCGGAGCCCAGCTGCAGCTCTGGGGGAGATACACTATTGTCAGCGCTCTCTGTTCACTGCTGGGATTTACACTGCTGCTTTAGTGAGTTGCAGACTGCTTTTTCTGGATTTTTCACGGGGTCTGGGGAGTCAGTGGGGCCCAGCAGTTAGGGAATACAATACTTTCAGAATTTTTAATATTTTTTTGCAAGCTGCTTAGGAAGGAGCAGGCAGCGACTGATAAGAGATCTGCCCCAGCACTTTAAACCTGCACCTCCACTAGCTCCCAGGGAGACACAGTTCCTGCCGATGGTCTATCCTCTCACACACATTCCCTCACTTTTGTGCACACTTTCTCATGTTAGTTTTGTCTTTGTAGAAAGCTGCAATAGACAGGCAGATAATGTTTTATCGCCTCATTTGGTGAGCGGCGTCCATACCCTCTCCTGAGGGCTGTACAAGATGTCCTGGGAATAGAGTGACTTACAGGGGAAAAGAAAATATCAAAAATTGCCTGTGATGGCAAGCCTGGAGGCCAGGGGAGTGTGGCATTGCCACATGAGGCCTTAGCAGAGAGCGGTGAGGGGCTGCCATGGGTCAGCCCTGTTTCATGGCCCGTTGATGCAAAGGTCCCACGACCTGGAGTGCCAGCTGTGGGTCAGCCCCCCAGGGTGCTGGGGCTGCAGCTCAGAGCGGCTTTGGGCCCGGCATCTCCACCGGGTTTGGCTGCAGCCACTGGAGGTCACTGCTGATCTGCAGCTCCACATGCAAAGCCACTTTTGGAGAGGCGAATAGGAGACCTGCCTCTAACCCCTTGCAAAATCCCTGGCACCTCGGTGGTTGCTGGCACTTAGGACCTCCACTAGAAATAAGGTCTTGCACCCCCAACCCTCCCCAGTTTTCCCTGTTTCCTGTTCCTGGATGCAGGGACCGCTTGGGAACCCATCACATCCAACGGCACAGCTCGGTGTAGGACCTCCCGGGAGGGATGCCGGCTCAGGGAACACCCTACAGCTCCCAAGCAAACAGCTCGGCGAAATGTGAGATGCAAAGCCTCTCACCCACACTTTGGGAGGCAAAGGTAGAATTTCAGCAGCTAATTCTTCCCTCGTTGTTCTTGTCAAATAGTCTGTAATGAGGTTAGCTGGTAGAAATAAAATACCTTTGAGGGAGGACGCTCTTACTTGTTTCTTTCCTTCCTGACCCCTTTGACCGAGGTGGCTCGGTGTCCCACAAGGTGCTGCATTCCAGCTCCACGGGTGCAGTACTGTCAGCACTGGGGGTTTTGGGGCCGAAAGGTCCCTTCTGGGAGGGTTTGAAGCCAATGCCAAAGAAATGGGTGATTTTACAGAAATGCCCATGTCCCTTCACTGGCTTTTGCTGTTTGAGCATTCAACCAGAACTGAAAAAAAAAAAAAAAAAGATCTCCAGAAGGGACCTGGGAAACTTTAGGGTTCGTTGGCTCAACAGGAGAGCAAAAGTTTCAGCAGCAATGCAAACTGGTAAAATCCCCACTGAAATGTCCTCACCATCTCCAAGGGGTCTGGAAATGCATTTCCAGCTCCAATCCCAGCTATAGCACCTGGCATCTCTGGTAGAACAAGGGTCGTCCTTCAGGACTAGATGTTCAACCAATTTAGAGTAACACCGTTGCTCAGCATTTAAGTAAAACATGGACTAAAACCTTTTGGGGTTTCCACACTCCCTGAACACTGATGTCTCCTCGTCTGCAGGTAGTGAGCAAACCTCACTTATTTGTTTAGGGCAAAACTGATCTGCTGTCTGCTGTGAGAGAACACCCATCAGCAATATTATCTTCTCCCCATCCCAAGGGGTAAGGCTGGCATTTTCTGATTTAAACCGTGTAATGCAAACCTCATCTGAATGACAAATCTGCCTCTCTAAATCTCCTTTAGAGAAGGGGGAGAGAGAGCAATGGAAAAGGTCCTAAATGGCAGGTGGGTGTCTCCTGGCTGAGGGGCAAATGCTGAGGCTGAGAGGTTTTGGGTCCAAATAGTCCTCCCCAAACACCTGGTAGAGCAGCGTAGTTTTGGATGGGGATTAAGGCTTGTGCAGGTCCATAGGTGGTCACAGGGGTGGTACACACCAGCAGAGGTTATAGGAACTCATCAGCGTGTAAAACAAAGTCTGAGTCAGGCCAGATCCTGACAGGGAGACAAGAGGAGTGGGAACTAATGGGATGCTCCTGATGAGAGGGTGAAGATGGGGAGCAAGCAGGACTGAGAGCTGCTATCAGGGGATCGGCAGAAAGCTGAGCAATGCAACAAGGGCGATATGGGCTCCCTCCTCCCGCGGTCACGCAGGGATCCTCCTGTTCAGACCCGAGGGCAAGTCCCAGGGCAATTATTCTTTGTGTCCTTGAGGCCCGCTCTGAGTGAGACTGCTCTGTAATCAGCAGAGCCTTGATGCAGGGGAAGCCCTGATTTTAAGCAAAGTCTTGGATGGCCTCCAATACCTTTGCAGAAGTTGGCAGGGGAAGATAAGGCAGCGTTTTTGGCCCCACAGGAACCCCCTTGCAGGGCTGCCGTCATCCTTAATGATGGTCTGGGGGTTTCTAGGAGCAGAGGTAGCCCGTCTTGCAGCCCTGATGGGGCACTGAGCTACGTGTCTCTGGGGAACCCTAAATACCCACCTAGAAAGCAGCTCCCTGGGGTGCTTTGGCCACGCTGTTGTTGTTGGAAGTGCCTGTGCTATGGGAGCTGCTCTCTGCCTCTCTCTTCTTCCCAGCTGTGTGTCCAGAGAAGTTGAGTGTCAAATGGAGAAAATATAAAAACACTTGGCATTTATTTCTGTGCATAACCAAAGCGCTCATACTTAGTGCCTCCAGATGGAAAACCATACAAGTTCCCCCTGCCCCAAACCTGTAGACTCAGTGCTATGTTATCAGGCTTACAATTTACAAAAAATGCTCAATATCCCTCTTTTTTTTTTCCTAAAAATCATGTTCTATAATAAAAAAAAAAAAAAAAAAGGGCTAAAAATATACCAAAGGCACATTTTTATCGGGAAGTAATTAAGAAATACTGTTTTTCCTTTGCGAGCTTCCCTCCAGTGCTGGAGAGGTGTTTGGTGGTTGTGGCTGATAACAATCCAACTTGAGAGGAGAATGCAAAACAGAAGAACAGTATTTACTTGAAGCTAATTGTAATTTTCACAAACAGTCACCAAAAGAGCCCAAATATCAGCAGAAAAGGGAAGCTGCTGTATTCCTTTGTTGCTGGAACGCTGCCTTCCTGCATGTAGGGTTGAGGCAATCTTATTTCCATCTGCTGCCTTGATTAAAAGAGAAGGGGAACTGCTGTTCAGGCGATAAGAGAGGCCAGAGGCTTCTCCATTAATATGTAAACTTTGGATCAAAAAGGAAGATGAGAAGCTCTAGGCAGAAGTCACCTCTTAATAGATGGGGTTTGAATCTGCATGCATCAACAAAAGGCACATCTACTATGCGCTGGCTTCTATAAAGAGCAGGAAGGCGACGGGATGGAGGTGTGACCCCACTACTTAACTTTTCCAGTTTGGGTTGAATAATGTCCACTCCGAAGGAAGTTTACCTGAAGTAACAGCTTTGTAATGTTTGTCGAAGCTCTCTGTGATAGATTCTCAAATCCAGAAAGGATCACAGTCAGTCAAACATGATCTCTTGCCCTCCATGGCAACCAGCATCCATATTGGTCCTATAGGATGGACCGAACCACCAATTAGCTCATTTAAAAAAATAATGCCCAAAGGACTGAGAACTTTCTGAACACCTTGGCAGCTTGTGACTGTGGTTTGAAATCATCTGGTTCCCCAGCTGAGCGCTGCTGACTGCAGATCCAGTTTTGTGTGCCACTCCTGTTAGAAGAGTGATTTCTCTATTTCCAGTGTCTTTAACCCATGCTGGGAGTCCTGGTAATCTCAAGCCAACTTTTCAATCCACTCTTTGCAAACGCTAAAATGTTTGTGCTCTTGCAGCTTCTAATTACGAGCTGTTTTTTATGACCCTGGATGATTCTTGCAGCCCAGCCTGTCTTAGAGGGAAAAATGTGTGGAAAAAAGTCAAGTGTAGACACGAGAGCAGGAAGCAGTCGCCGAGGATCAACGTCATGAGGGGATATGCAGAGCTGAGCTGAGACGCTTTAATGTCTTCGAGACACCAATGTCTCTTCCTTTTGTCCTTCAGCCAGTCCCTGCTTGAGCCCCCCCATCTCCTTCCAGCCTCCCCCAGCAGCCGGTGGGTCTCCCCCATTTTTTTCCACATTAAGCTCCATCCTCGAGACAATTGCCCCTGTCTCAAGATGAGGACTGAGACTGCTGGTCCATATGCTTTAGAAGGGTCTCTTGCTATTTGCTACATCTGCCCTGATCTGTTTTAACTTTGCCTTAATTTCCCCAATTTTGGGGAAAGCTCAGTGGGCCACGTTCCTCTGCCTTGCTCCTTTCTATAAATATATATATATATATTTTTTTTTTTCCCCCCTCTGAGTGTGAATCTGACCCCCACTGCAATACAAGCTGTTCCCCCCCGCCAGCCTCACCCTTGCTGCCTGATGTGGCACCAGCCAGGCCCTGGCAACAGAATGCAAATTTTTCCCCAGGAGTAAAAGGATGGTACCAAGCTGTGAGTGAGCTGAGTTGCCTTTGTATGCAAATAAATGCAAACACCTTCAATTGTTCCTGAAAGAACATAAAATAATTGGCAACAGGTTATGAAGCATTTCATCTTGCTTCTCTGCCTTTCTCCCTGAGGATTATTCTGGGGTGAATGTTTATGTGGTTGAATTAAAAAAAAATAATTTAAAACCCCCACACCTCTTCCAGAAATAATTTTTCCCATGTTCCTGGACAATTTGGCAGCTGAAAAACTGTGCATTAAAGGAGGGTCATTCATTCCCTCCAAGGGGAACCCTCTTCCCTGCTGGCTGAAGATATGCTCCCTCCTGATTGCTTCAATAAATGGGGAAAAAATGCAGCATTTTGGGGTATAGGCTTGCACAAGTGTTTCTTGGGCTCATTCATTCGCAAAAGAAGGCTGGTTTTCACAAGGACCAGTTTGGCCTCCAGCAAGCCCTTCCCCATGAAGGGAAAGAGTTCAGGCAGAAATTTCAGGAGGACAGGTCTGGCTCCTCCAGCCCCAGGCAAGGGGTAACTCTGGCTGTCCTGTAGCAGTTCCTCTTGTGGTCTCTTCTGATGCCTGTATTGCAGCATTTTTCTTATTAAAAGACGGTTGTGGAGGAGTTGGGCAGAGCCCTTGACAGCTCATGTCGGGTTCACAGAGAGCTGGGGTGTGTGGCAAGTAGTTATCCAGTCCCAAAGAGCTCCAACTCCCTTATTCTTCTGCCGTCAGCAGGAGGTTGCAGACCTTGGAGTTGGCCCGGTGCAAGGCAAACTCTCGCCCAGGCATGGTGCCCTGCCTGCCTTTTCGAGTAGTGCTGCTCTGGCTCCCAGCAGACTTGGAAACCGTGAAGATTTCTCTGTGGGACAAAGCAACAGCAAGATGGTCAGGAGGCTGTGGTGGTGGTGGGCCTCATCCTCCTCCCAGACCAGCATATTCACCATCTCCTGGTTGTCTAGGCATGGTGCTTACACCCATGTCATCATGAACTTGTGCTGAAACCATCCCTACTGGTTTCAACCCACCCTGCTCAATTAACGTACAATCATTAATTCCCTCCTCTCCGCAAGAAGTTCTCCTTTATCTCAAGCACGCCATGACATTTCTACAGTATCTGGCCGTATCCAGAGATTACCTGTATGGGACCTGCTCCTCTCTCAGCTGCAGGCACATGAGCACCGGGCTGCCAGAAAACCTCAGCATGGTGTCAAAGTGGATGGAGGTCTCCACCTCTGTCTGGCTTCTCAGGGTGGCTTGGAGGAAAGGGGCATCTAGTTCTGTCTGGAAATCAATGGCGAGGCTTCCCCTGCGAGAGAGCAGCACATGGATCTGGTCACCAAGCAATGGCCTTGTGCTGGGCACCACGTACTGGCACCAAAGAACCCCATGAGCTTCTTAATTTTAGGTCTGTCCATGGAAAAGGAGTGTGTAAACCAGTGCCTGCCAGACCCCCCCATACCCAACATGTCCACCAGGAAGGGCTGGACCCAGCAGAAGAAGAGTAGGGGGCTGTGAAAAGCCAGCCTAAGGTGCAGCATCCCTTGGGCTGGGGGCTAAGCCCCCCGGGCACTCCGCATCCCCAGAGCCAAGCAGTTTCCCATCCGCTGACCTTGCGTTGATGCTGGTTTTCAGTTCCTGCTCCCAAATGCTCACGTCCATGTCGGCTGAAATGTCAAGCCCCAGCCCGCCCTGGAGTTTGATGGTCACTTGGAGACCAGACTGCAGAGGAATGACCTGGAAGATGCAGAAGACAGGTCTTGCTGTGACTGGGCATGATTCTTGGTCGAGCGGCTGATATTGGTAGCGAAGTGTGGCTTCTGGGACTGTCTATCCCAGTCCCACAGCTGGGCCGGCATGGGAGGAACTCCAGCTACATGTGTTCCATGGCAGAACCAGCCATACCGCTGTCTTACCAACCCCAAGAGACACCTGGCAGTGCCATCTCGCTCTTAGATCTGTATCTGCAGTGACCAACGTACCTAAAATCCACTGGCTCGTGCTATGGGGTTCATTAGAATGTGGCATGGAGGCAGGTCACACCCCCCAACCATTACCTGGTGATGGTCCATCAGCAGGAGGTTCCCTTTGACCACGCTTGTGGGTTCTCCGCTGCTTAACAGGACCTTGGCCATTAAATCTGTATATCCCTGGAAGAAGACAATCGGCCGCAACTGAACATTGAGGAAGATGGCAGACATCCCAGCCGTGAGCTCTGGCTCCTCTTCTCCTTCCAAGACGTTTTCTCCCACCATCGACTCCATCCCTTGTGCTTCAATAGCGACCTAAAACACAGAAGTGGAGATATGCGAGCTGCGTGGAGCAAAGCCGGAGAGTCCATTTCACGCCCTGCAATGCTGTTTGAGTTGCTATGCTGGTCCAACCCTTGGGTAGACACCCTTTGAAGCAGGAGGACAGTGATGGAGCGGGCATCCAAGCTATCCCCAAGCACCATGCAGCCATGGTGTCGCATCCCCTGTTTTTTGGGGGAGCAGGGGGCTCTCTTCTTCAGAGCAGGTCTGTCTGGCTTCACACCAGTGATGGGGGGGGGGGGTGTGTGCGTTTATGTATTTCTGATATGGGGCATGCTGAGAGCAGAGGTGAGAGGTTAAGAGGGGACACAGACTGGGCAGTGTCGCCACCGGGTTAGTGTTGACACCCCCTTCCATGTATGTGCCCACCCCCAGCACACCTGAGCTGCGCAAAGCCGCCGGCCGCGGCTGAGCAGCGAGAAGTCAGAGACGCTCTTCCTCAGGAAGCCACCCTCCAAAAACAGCAGGTCCAGCCCGAAGGTGGAGAGCAGGTCCTGGGTGACTGAAAGGCAGAGAGACACCCGTAAGCATCCCCGGGCAGTGCCTGGCACATCTCCTTTTGTGAGGGAGTGACTCAACGGTGGCGAACCATAAATGCTCCGAGAGCAGGGGGTGAAGGCTGACAAGAAAATAAAGAGCCCGTAGCTAGGACGTGCAAGGTGCTCAGCAGGACAGGGCGGTTTCTTAAAAGAGCTCCTCCAAATTGATTGCAGGAATTGGGAGGCCACTGGGCATGTCTAAAAGCAGGATCCTGACAGCTTCTGGGTAATTTGTAAGCCTCCTCGATAGATTGCATGGCTAGTCCTGTAGAGCTGTCCTATCTATGATCAGGATGATTGACCCACACAGATCTCTCACGTTAGCCATTAAATATCTGGTAAAGCTAATTTATTCAGAGGGGAAAGCTTCTCTGCACTATCTCCTTTCATTCTGGCAATAATCAAAGGATTTAGCATTGCAGTATTTTTCTTCCAGGTGTTGGCTATTTTGCCTCCACCCTGCAAGGCTAGACTGAGATAATTTGAAGAGGGACAGAAATGAGAGCCGAGGGGGGTGGACATTTAAGCAGATATTTAGCAAGCATCAATTGTTGCAGTCTCTCTGAAGTTTGATGATTTTTGTCTCGGAACAAGGATTCTCCCCTTTGAAGACCTTATTAAAAATACCTAAGGAACTGAGGAATGGAGCTAAATATCTTGAGTTACCAGGAAAAGCACAGAAACTCCCACCTACAATCTACCATTGGTTTCATCTCCAGCTGACGTTCCTCTTTCAAATTAGCAGGATTTGGGAAAAGTATGTGGCACAGTCCAGCCCTCTTGCTGTAGGGGTGTCAGAGAAAGGTATATATATCTCAGGTGATGGCAACCAGTCAGCCTCAGCTGGTGTTGGGGCACTTGATCAGAAACCTCACATTGAGACTTTTGGGGCGTTTCTATAAAGCCGAGGCCTCCTCTGAGATCTTTCTTTCCCCACCAGCCCCTCCTTTAGCCATTTGAGGGGACCATGGGATTGGTGTCCTCTGTGGTGTCACCTGTCAGAGGTCCTGAGAAAGAAGAGGAGATGCCGGCTTTCGAGAAGAAGTTGTAATTATTTATCCGTGGGTCTCTCATGATGTCTTTCATTATTTTCCTGGAAGCAAGAAGGAAAGGGTATGTCAGTGGTGGGAGGGAAGGAAGGGAAAATGTCAGTAGTCATTACAGAAGGCTGTACAAAGAAGGAAATATGAGTTTCCAAAGTATTTCATTTGGTTGCTGACTGCCCAGAGAAGCATGAGCAAAAAAAAGGGAAATTGAGTAGATGTGGGCTACCCTCGAATTTCCTTCTCCTCTGGTTTATTAGGATAAACCAGCCAGATATTTTTGTGCAGCTTTTGCTTAGCTCTGGAAAGCGTTAGTGCTTGGTTTGTTTTGTGCAGATAGGAAGATTAATGCAGTTACAAATTGTGCACTGCCCTGCGAGCCAGAGCTTTGGCCTCCAAGGACTCTGCCGAAGCCATGAGCCTGGGTCCTGCCGCCACGGGACAGGATGAGGAGGGACACAGGGTTTTGGCTGTCTGTCTGTCTGTCATCTGCATTAGCAGCCCTGATGTTTTCTTCCTCCTGCAGCTGGGAAACTCCAGGCAGCTCCAGTGCCAGCTCCAAGGAGCAATGCTAGCATCCTTTAAAGGCACGTTGGGTCAAAAGCCCCAGCTGGAGTGTGGAGGAGGAAAAAAATGCAACCTTCTCTTCCAGACCCACCTTGCTGGGTGGTGGTCAGCACTCAGGCTGTTCTGGATCTTCAGCAGCAAAAATGTTGCTGTTTCTGTCTCCAGCTCATTGGCAGCCAGCAGGATGTTGATGACATCCATGGGCAAGGGCTCGTTATCTAGGAGGATTTCTGCAGCGGCCAGGCGACATGTTTTTTCATAGCTTTTCCTTTTCTCATGGAAAATCCTCCTCATTGCTTGTTTCACCTGGTGCAAGAGGGCAAATAAAATGGTGCTGGTGGTGATGGGCAAACAGCAGCTTGGTTTGCACCCGGACGGCTCGGCTTTGAACTGGGAAGAGGAGCACCAAGCCTTGGCAGCTTCGTTTTGTACCTTGTCAGAGATGTACTGAGCGGGGAATCGTCGCAGGGCAGAGATGGCAGCAGCAGTGATGGTGGCAGGACCCTCCTCGGCGTGGTCCAGGAGGGTGGGGATGGTTTCGGGGAGCACCGCGTTCCCCAGGGCCAGCAGGTAAATGACCACCTTGGAGTCCTCCTCGGTGCCCCTCAGCCCCGTGAGGATGGCTTCCACTCCACGCTCCACCTCCTGCTCGGGGTTTGCAGAAGGGAAGGAGAATGAGGGGAGGGGCAGGAGACTTTTTGGGTACTCCCAGAGGAGGTGGGGGGGGTCCTGGAAAAGCTGAGTGGAGGTTTGCAGAGGACCCACCTGCAGCCCACACAGCTTCTGCTGGCACAGCTTGCCGACAAGGGAGCCCACAGCAACTATCCCTGTCTCCTGGACCTCAGGGGCCAGCTGCTTCCCATCCAGCTTGTCCTGGGCACCGGGGGAAGGGTATTAGGAAATAGGAAAAAAGAAAAGGGAGGAAAAAGACAGAGGAGGAGTATGTTTTACCTCTTATCTCAAAGCATTTACCTAAAAAGTAGGGAAAAACTAGTACTTACCTGCTTTGAAGGAGGGAATGCATGGTTTAATTGGATAAAATGCTGATTTTTCACAGTGGCTTTTAATGAAGCTTTTATTATCTGTAATGCACTGACATAAAGCACTTTCTGCTGAACACTTTTCCTCTGAGGAGCATCTACTCCCATTGCCAGTGTCCCATTAAAAGCACATAAAATAATCCCATAAGCAGGAAGATATGTTTCTACAGAGACGTATTTTCTTTTTTCGGGAAAATATGCTTGCGGTTCCCTCCTGGCCAAAATGGGGTGAGGAGCCATCCCAGACTCAGGGAGGGAGAGAAATAACCATACTTACCAAGACCAGGCGGAGAAGCTCTCCTGAAGGCCGGGGAGAGAAAGCAGCTGCATAGAGAAACTTCTCTGGCAGGGATTTGGGCTCCTTGTTGAAATCCAGAAAGTCGGAGAGAGCTGCCAAGGAAGCCATTGACTGTGCGGCTACTGCTGCCTCCACGACAAAGGGGCTGGAACAAGAAGAGGGAGGTCATCAGTGGCATGACCCACTGATAGAGCGGGAGAAGAAACAAAGTACCCTGTGAAGCTCCTCATCCCTTTTTTTTTCTTCTCCATCCCTTCCTCTTGCTTTAAAACTCACGGGAGCTTCAGTTCATGGGTTAAAAAATAACAAAGAAGGTCAGCTCTTGCTCTGAAGTCACCTGCACCTGGGCATTTCACCGCAGAGAGGAGCGCAGACCCAGCGCCCAGGCTGACAAGGGATGGATGTTACGGCCATGGGTGGATGGTCTGTAAATAACAGACCTCCGATGCTATTTGCAGAAAGCCTTGCTGGAGCATTTGCTCTGCTCCAAAGCTAGCGCAAAAAAAAAAAAAAAAAGCTACGCAGTATTTGTACAGAACAGGCATTAAAGAAAAACAGAGTACATTCGCACTAGTCAGGATGGCTGCCTGGACAGGTGTGGTTATGGACCAGCATCAAACAACCCTAATTGCCAGGGCCAGGAATGACTCTGTGTGTGTCAGGGCTCTATATGCACAGAAAGCCAATTTTTGGCATGGTCCTGAGAGTCTCACAGCATTGCCTTGGGCGCTCTCCTCAGCAACTGCAGAACATCTTTCTTCTTGGCGCTGCGCAGCATCTGGATGAACCTCTGGAACTCCCATGTGGTTGCTGCCTTCGAGGTGTCCGTTTTGACTCCCTGCCTGTCAAAAGCCTTCAGGTAGGCTCTCAGCTGCAAAGATATGAGGTTTGTTAGGTGGAATTTAGCCTCTTTTACCCCAGAACCTGAATTACGGGATGAAGTTGATACTCAGGAAAATATTTAGGAGTGGGAGGGGCCCATGGGGGGTCATGCAATTACCTGCAAGCATCTACTGCAGCCTCCCACCCCCACTGCTGAGGACTTGTGCTGAAGCCCAAATGCCCCAATTTGTGGTACGTGCCAGGAAAAGAGCAGGAGAAACTGCGAGCATCATCGGTGCCTGAAAGTCATTGCAATTCCAGATTTCCTAGGTGAAAAGCCCTGAGGTGTTGAGGAGGCAGAAATAACCCCTCCTTTGTCCTTACTAGCCTGACCTGTGGGGGTTTCCTGACCTCAGACCTGTGATGAGTTTAACCCGACAGGGTATGCCAGCTGTGCACCACGTTACCTCTCCCATCACAGAAACGTGGTTATGTCTGGGGGGACAGAGGGGTCCTTCCACCACGGGTAGCAACATTAGATGCTGTTTAGGAGAGGTGACAGATCAGGCTGTGGCTCTACAGTGCTCCCGGGGCCGCATCTTCCCTCGGCAGTGGTGATGAGCCCCTCCAAATGCACCACCAGGGTTTAACCTTAAATCCTACAGCCTTCTCCTGCCCGCCCAGATGTCCAGCTTGGGGGAGAGTGGCGAGTTTTGGGGGTGGGTAGCATCACTGACCGATGGGCAGCGGGTGCAGACCCTCCTGAAGGGCAGGCTGGCCATGCCCAGGGGCTGGTGCCGTCCCTCCGTGCCAGCCAGTGCGTCCTCAAGGCTTTGCCCAGCCACCTCTGTTGGGCCGGGCATTGGAGGGGACACTAGCTGGAGCTGCTGCCTGTGGAGGGAGAAGAAGCCATCAGGAAGCTCTTTGTCATTTACACCCTTCGTGGTTCAGAGTCTGGTTGGGTTCATGCAGGTTTGGAGGAGGAGGAGACGTGGAGAGGGGGGGAAGCTGTCAAAAGGTGTCTGGTGCTCCCTCCATGACATACCCAGCTGCTGCACCCTGTCCTCCTCGCTGGTGGCACGAGGCTGTGCCAGCCGAGCTGGCAGGAGAGCAGCAAACATTTAACTCAAACAGAGGCACGTTTGTCCCGTGCCAGGCTGCCTGATTCAGGCAGTGGTACGGTGGCATCGCTCACCTTGAACTGATTTTGATGCCGGTGGTGGACCTCAGGGTTGGAGACACCACATGCCTTTCCTCTGACAGCACTGACTGGAGGAGGTTGTCTTTCACCACGTAGTGGCTTCTGCTGGTGGGCTGCCACTCAACTCCAAAAATCTTGAAAAGCAAGGAGAAACAATGCAACTTTTTCTCTCTTCCCCTCTCCCAGGAGATTTCTCTCCCCTCACTTAACAGCAAAAGAGCTTTCCAGTCCGCAAAGTCACTTGCTTCTTTTGTGAAATATAGTAAGGGAGGATCCAGAAGAGCCCAACCTCTTCCCAGGTGTGGGAGAAGGCAGCTGCAGGTGAGGACCACAGCGTGGGGATGCTCTTGCCGTTGTTCTAATCTGGGGAGACAGACGAGCGACACCATGCTGACTTTCATTTACGAGGTAGTGTCACCCTGGCTCAGCCACAGAAGAAAGGGGGAGCAGGGGGTGGTCCTGCCTGGCACGGATGATGCCTGGAGACTGCAAACTGGGAATAAATGCCTCCAAAAACATCGCCCTTCCTTCAGGTCCGTTCGACAGCGCTAGCTCCATGGCTGCCACAGCACAGCTGCACGGCGTGGGAAGAGGTATGGCCCTCAATGCCAAAGCCCACATCATCCTGACGAGCATCAGCAAGGACGTTCTCCGAGCGAAAGAGAAAGCTACGTAATGGCAGTTTCCACCGCGCTCATGCCAAAAAATGCTCAGCTTCCTTGCTCTGCTGCGTGGTGACCTTGGGGGAGCTCTCTGGATTTTACTTTTCCTTCCAAAAGAAATGACGCACTTGCTGGACTTCACCTCTGCCTCGTCTCCCAGTCCCGGTGAGGGGACTGCCGGTCACGCTGGGAGATGTTATCGGAGCAGCTGGGCTTGCACATGGCAGGTCTCGGGGAAGGAGAAGAGCTGGACCATGTGCAAGCGGTGTTTTTTGACAGCAGATGACATTAACAATAACACTAATATCATCACTGTTTTGATAGAGACCTTTTATGCATAGGCTTTGCCTTTTATAGAGCTGGGCAGCATCGTTATTTTGCCATCACAGCTGTGGATACAGGCAAAGTCCAGAGAGCTGTCTCATTCCAGATGGCAGTCTTGTGGGAAAACCTTATTGCCAAAAATGTGCTATGCAGGGTTTGTTACTTTCTTGGGTAAATTTGCCATGATTCATACTCCAGAAAGTTTTATTATATGAACACGCGGAGTTTGACTGCCAGGTGTCAAGACCCCTGCTAAAAGCCTGTGGGCTCTCTGTGCAGTGATGTCCATCTTTATATTGATTTCAGTAGAATTTATATATTTAAAAAAACCCATCAATTTTAATCATGGCAGGTGTAGCTGCATTAAGACCCACAGAATCTCATCTAGTTATGTCAGAGCTAAACACGGGCTACTGCTTTAAATGAAACAACTGGCTGTCTTTGGTCCTGTCCCATGTCAACCTAATCCCCAATCCAATGAGCCAGAGGTCCAGAAAACGTTTCTGTATTGCCACTTTCCCAAGCAGGATTAGCTGGCAGGTTGGAATTGATAATAAGGACGGGATAACCCAGGACATCTTTTCTGCTCCTGCCCACCCCAAAACCCCATGCTCCTCCCAAGGTATGCTGGTGCATCCCACTTTGGGCACGGGTCTAAGGGCCGGAGCCTCGTCCCAGGCTGGTGCAGAAGGCTGAAGCCAGCTGGGCGTGGGACTCTCAGGCGACCTGTAAGAAGATTTTGGGGACAACCCTGATGTACTTTATGTAAGTTAAGCCCACCACCGCGAGCGCAATGGACTTGCTTTGTTTACGGAGGTGAATCCAGACTCTGGCTTTGTGCAGCTGAGGAGATTTTTTGTCTTCGTGATGGAATGGTTGGACACAGTGTACGTGACTTGGCAGCTCCCGGAGACGTCCTCCTGAAACACAAATGTCAGTGACCACGGTTAAGGGTGATTGGCTTTGATCGAGCCTGAATAAAATGGTCTGTGTAGAGGACAGACACAAAAGACAAACTAATAAATAGAAAAATCATCAAAAAGCTAGAACCTGGGCTGTGTTTGGGGATGTTGGATAGCTCCAACTCCATCTGGGCAGGAAATTTGCTTTTGTGAATTTAGGGTAACACCAGCAGCAGCACTTTTGTGCCTGCATTTTGGTCTTTGAGGTTATTTCATGTTGTTTGCAGGTCACTACGGCATCAGTTGAGCTCTGGAGGGAGGGATTTCCCTGCCATTTTCTGGTGGAGCTCAGCAAAGCAAATCCCACTTGGCAGAATTTCTTGTAGTTTTTTATCTATTATTCCTACTCTCCAGGGAAAGACGACGATTTTGTAAGTGTGCCCATTTCTGAAAATCATCTACAGGTTATTTTATTTTAAATCTTCTCTCTTTCCAATAGTCATCCTCACTTATAGCCCAGGGGCAGCTGGAGCAGCAAAGCCCGTGATGTTTATCCTGAATTTTGCCTCCTCTGCTGAAGCACAGGGGCTGGCTCTTCTGCTGTGGCACAGTCCCTGGCTTTTGGGCAGGATCTGGCCCTGGCTCCGCACCTACCTCCACTGCAGTGCCGGCGTGGGGCTGGAGCTGGAGCAGACTGATGATGCCTCTCTTCAGGTTTGAAATCAGGACGCTTTCGGCTTCGGTCCCGTAGAAGGCTTTGACCTGGGAGGGCAAGAGGAGGTGTCTGCCTGCAGGGATGGCTCTGGGGGCCCTGCGGGCTCTCTGCCGCCGCCCCTGCTCAAAGGCATCTCCCCTGCAACCGAAGCAACACCCTGTAGATACATGAAGATTTTTCACAAGGAGGACTGTATCCCTCAAGAGCATGGGGCTTTGTGGATGCATGCCCATAAAATTCCACACCCCCAACCACCCCCCCCCTTTTTTTTTTTTTTTTTCCCATGCCCTGGTTTTGCAAAGCCTTAGAGGAGAAAGTCAGAAAGGAGCTTATAACCCATGGTTAGGACTGAAGCCCTTTTAACACGGGATGCTGCAGCTCCAGCTGAGCCTGCAGCCCCTTTGGGGGATGGAGCCCCTTAGGGTCATACTGGACCCCATGGGAGATGGTATATTCCTACATTTGCCACCCTGGCTAGCTCCTCGTGCTCTGCTATGAAATCAGAGGTGGAGCAGGAGTTTACACGGGCTTTGTAGCTAGGACAATTTGGGATGTGGGCAGGAGTGCTCTGCGGAGGGCATGAGCCAGCCCAGGAGGTGTCCAGCTGACCTTCCCGCTACTCCAGGAGATGAACACGGGCTGCTGGAGCTCTGCCTGTGCCTCCTGGCTCAGTGCAATCTCTGCAGGGGGACCCTCAGTGCTGTCCTGGCTCCTCTCCTCTTCTGGCTCACGTTGGGCTTTCAGATCGCGGATCTATGGTGGCAGAAGACAGCAGAAAGCGGTGACCAAGCACATCTGCTCTGAGGCTGCTGTGCATTTTACCTGCAGGTGGTGGCCTCTGGGTCACAGAGGTAATTTTTCAGGGGGCTTGGGCTAGAAAGGGAAGGGGATAAGGAAAGACAGCATCCCTGCTCCCAGGAGGAATACCTGGCTGCAACCGATTTACCACCTCACGCACCTGCACCTGGAGCAGCTCTTCCCCACCTTGGTCCCTCCAGAGCGGGTGCAGCTGGACCAAGGCCTCAGCCCTCAGCCAGGCTCCCCGGAGGGACGCGTGGTCCAACTGGATGTCCAGGGAGTAACGGTACTGATACAGGGTCCCGGGCTGGAAAGAAAGCAGCTGCAAATCCCCTAAGGAAAGATGCAAGTACATGGTTGCAGACCTCAGTCCCTCCGCTCGCCGCAGCCAGAGTCTTCCATCCTAGAGAGGACCTGGACGTGCAGAGGACCGTTTGCGACCCACATCACTTTGCCTCCTGCAAGTGTCATTTTTACGCCAAGCAGCAGGTATAGCTGACAGATTTAGGGGAGCACATGGGAAGGTTTTCCTAGGAAATGATCTGTGCCTGCGGTTTGGATATTTGGGTGTTCTCGGGTGACAACTGATTCTTGCTTGCATTTCCAGTCCTGCCTTAGAAACGATGGCCAGAGTGGGGGCACTCCTTGGGGACTCCAGGACTTTTTGAAACTGTCAGAGAAACACGCTTTAACCCTGAAGCAAAGTTTCATGAGCATGCCCACGGACAGGAGGGATGTCTTGAAGTGTCTTTTCAGCATTGTGCATTAGGTGGGGCAATGCTAGCATTTTTGTTTAGGAGGGAAGAGAGGCCATATTCTTCATATTGTGTGTTTCCCATCAGTACTGTCAATTCCTAATTAAATCACTGACTTTGTGATGGGGGCAAAGAGAAGTTGCTGGGGCAGCTTTAAATTAAAACTCCTTGCCTTAATCTTATCTAGAATTATTTGGAGTCCCTCCTTTTGTTTGTAGGCCCCCCTACAATCTTATTTGTATATGAAAAGCCTAATCTATTTTCTAAAGCCTAATCTGTTTTCTAAAGTCACTTGAAATTTTCCTGCAAATCTGATGCACTTGCTGGGCTTCTGAAACGTTTTATAGTTTTGCTACTTTTGTTATAAAGATAAATGAATAGATGGAAACCGAGCTCACTCCTTGGGGCTTTTCTCTGTGAGTCAGACTGAAGCATTTCTGTATTTCTGCACCATGTGTAGTTTAAAAAGGCCCAGATCTCCAGTTTTCCTTACCCCACAGGGAGATCTTCCCTGGTCCCCCAAAATTTCCTTGCCTCAGGACATGTTCAGACCGTTTGCAGCTGTGGCAATAACTCTTCCCTCCCCAGCTGAAGACGGGAGAGATGTTGCATTACGGCGAGCCCCAGGAGGCTCTTTGTGCACTGGGATGAGCATCCCGACCCCGTTTTGTCCCTGGACCCAAAGCAGCCCGAAGTCTCTTACCTTTTGCTGTGCTCCCGAAGGAAAAGCAAAGCAGGCAAACGGATCCCAAAACCGCCTGCGGATTCATGGTGGGCTCTGGGAGCTGGGCAGGAGACGGGAAAGGAAGTGGGGTGGGAGAGGGACTATACAACAAAAGTGGGCAAGATTTGCAGCGTCAGGCGAAGGGGCCCGACCTTCTCCCTATCCCTGCCTTACACACCCAAGGAAAAGCAAATAATTAAACTTTTGCACCAACCCCCGGCAGCCACGGAGGGTTTGGAAATCAGCTGAGGTTTGCCAAAGGCCAGCAGGAAGGGGGGGAAGCTGCAAAAAAGAGCTGCCAGAAGCATTGTGGGGGTGGGGAAACTGTCAATTAGCCTTGATATGGGAGGGGGATGCTCAGAAAGCTGCTCCATCCCCTGGTGAACCATCTTTTCCCACCAGAAGGGAAAGTGGGAGAAAGGGTTGCTATGAAAAGAAAAGATCCAGGAGGGGGAAGGGAGAAAACTGCTTTTCCATCCTTTTAGTTAGAAACTGGGATTTGCAGACTGGAGGCTCAAGTTACTTAAAGGGCCAGACTGGAGGGGGATGGGCAGAGCTCGCTGATGGGTTGGCCATGAACAATGTTACCACCCCCCTGCCCCCCTAAACAGCATAGGAAGGGGTTTAGGAGGTGGGTGCTTTGCTGGTTGTGCTCCACACAGCCTGCTAACCCCTTGGCCCACCAACCGTGCATTTTTTTTCCCATGCGTGAACTTTCTGATTGTTGAGTTTAATTGGTTCCTAAGGACACTACAGACTGCAAAGGGCCAAAGTCCCTACGAGGTGGTGGTGTGGTTTAGGGTCCTGTGAAGTCTTTTTGCCAAAAAGAACGAGAGAGCAGGGCATATCACACCCTTCTTTTGTACAGGGATCTGAGAGGCAGCGATGTCATTGTGGAAGCGATCTGCATATTTCAGTGAGACCAAACCCCAATGGGTTTGGTGTTATGGCATTTTTAAGGGCACATCTTCCAGCTCTGCATCACCACTGGGCGTTTGGGCCACTACTGTGACCTGAAAAGCAGGGCAGGTCCAGCTGTGAGCTGGGGAAAAGTCCTGCTATAGGTTTCCCACACGTGGTATTTCCACTTGGTCCTCTGATAGTTTTTAGGGACTAATACCCTATATTTAGATTGAAGCCTTTTCCTCTCTTTATTATTGTCTTTCTTGATGGTCTGCCAGCTTTTAATTCAATGGTTTCCCTGTGAGTGATGACCATTAGGGTTATCCTTCAGTCAGCTGCTCAAGATCTAACCCCAGGGTGTGATGCCATTAGTTGGGATGGTCTATCTGCACCAGCTTCTCCTCCTGGGATGCACAGACCCGTGGGACTTCTGCTCTGCCAGTGTGCACTGAGAGGGCAAAGCACACTGGGGATGGATGGAAGTCCTGCTGAACACGGAAAGCTTTCACCTTTTAGCCAGGGTGGGGAAAAAAATGAAATGTTTCAGAGAGCAAAGTGGCTGTTGAGGCTCTAAGTCCCCAAAATCAGGTCCCAGAGTGTTTGCTGGTTTCAGCTAAACACACTACCTGGAGAGGAAAGGCAAACAGAAATAGCTTGTGAAAAAGACCCTGCTGATAAGGAGGCCTCAAACAGGAACTGAACTTTGTCAGGTTTGCTTATTTAGACTCCGCTGCTGAGTCCTTCCAGAACCGGGGTGTGGGAAGCCGGAAAGATGCAACCTCCTTTCCCACAGGCAGCTCTGGGATGCCAATTGCTACCTGCCGGGAAGTCTGAGAGGTGAAACCATCTGATAGTCACTCGGCAGTGTTTTTCCTGCGGTTCCCCAAGGAAGGGAGTTCATCCACTGCCTGTGCTACCGGGGACGAGCTGCTGAGCTGCCACTTGAAATCTGCATGGGAGGTGTCTTGCTGTCATTTCGCGGTCTCCTCTGTTATAATCTCATCCTTGTGACAAGATTGCAATGGGCAGGGAAAGCAGTCAGGTAGCTGGAAAGTCACCAGGGATGGGATTTATCTTTAGGTTCCTAAATCAAGTCTCTGGACTAAATCAACCATCCCGGATCCTTCTAAAGGCAGCGGAAAGAGAGAGATGTCTTTGGAGGATGTCACATGCAGCTTATCTTGGGCACTGCCTTACTGTGACATTAATCTGCCTCTGATGGTATTTATTTAACTCCATCAATTATGTAGGAAATTAATATCTAGCTCAGACTTTGATGTGTAACTTTGAAATGAATCCTGCCCTCTGATGTGCAGCTTTGCTAGTCCCTGCGACAATTTCTCTGCCTGGAGAGAAAACCGCCCCAGATTTGTTAGCGCAGGAGGGGAGGCTGGGATGCACAATGAGTTTCACTACCTGTCTTCACCCGGTTTCTCTTCCTCCAGACCCAGCTCTTGCTTCTGCCTCTGGAAGAATCTGTGAAAGAGTAAAGCAGAAGAAAGCAAGTGTTTTATATTCCTGGTGTTGGTCATGAAAATGAAGGGGAGATGGCTTTGCCTCTTGCTCAGCGTCACTGTGTTTGTCCACTCTATAGTGACTATAGGACACCGTGGCTGTGGGTCTAGGCAAAGGCACTGCTGCCCAGCATCGCTGCGTGGTTGCCCATACCCCGTGCTTTCATCCATGTACTGCTCAAGTGACAGGATAAGTGTCAGTGAGCTTTGAATCCATCCCACAGCTGAATCCACCCTCAGCCCCCTCCTTGGCTCCCTGGACCTGCTCTGCCGGTACCTGCTGGGCTGCTCCATGCCCCTGTGCCCATCCCCGGAGGCCACACTCCCCCTGTGCCCCAGTCTCTGCCCCCACCACCTACAGCTCAGGCTGGAGGTTGGCTGCTGCAGGCTCCAACAACCCCAGAATGATGCTCTTTTCAGCAAGAAGAGGGCAAAAAGGAAGCAGAAGGAAGCGCATTTCCACTGTTGCATTAAAAGCTTTGATAGTAGCGTCACGAGCTGATCCTCTTTTCTGGACCTTCACTTTTCATTTCTGCTCACTTCAAATTTAACCAACTTTTATTAGGCCTTCAATTCACTAAGTGTTCCTCTCAAACCCATCTGGGGCTGTCATGCTCTTGGAAAGGTGTCTTATGAAACTTTGCAAACTTACAGACAGATGTATGGTCCTAAAAACAGTGCTGCTGAAAACTTGGGTGTTCCTCCTGCCCTCTGCATATCACCCAAGTGAAATGTCATCTCCTGTTTCCAACTGGGCACAACTGTCAGTGCAAATCCTCTTCTAACAAATGAATGTAGTGTGGTCAAGGATATGTCTTCGTCATTTGACTTACTGTTTGGACACTGTGCTGCTAATTCTCTTGGAAGTGAGATGGTGGCAAGATTTAGGGACAGCATTGGGATGCTGAGCCCCCCACCCTGGTGCCCAACCCTCGTCCTCATGCCGCTGCCTGGCTACCGAATCACCACGGGGTCTGGCTGCGGCAGCTCTGGACGCGCCAGCTCGGAAACCCATTGGCAGTGGCAGAGCAGGGACAGTCAGTGTCCCCGGGTCACCGTGCCCCAGGGTCAGAGAGGTGCACAGGGACCTTGCCGCCGAGGTGTGACGTCAGGTTGGACTTTAGCAAAGGGTGGCCAACCCGCCCAGAGGCCGAACTGGTGAAAGCAGGAGGGAGGCAATGGGGACTGTTGCACCAAAGCCCTTCGGCTGCAAGCCTCAACCCATGGGTGTTTTCAGGGGATATTCAGGTGCAGATTTTCATCAAAAACATCTAGTGGAGATAATGAGACCCAAACACTCCTTACCCAGGGGAGTACCAGTACCAGTGGCCAGTCTCTAGGCTTGAAAGCCACTGTACTGGGGTGTGAACTGGGGAGGTTGCTTCACCATCTCAGGGTTTTCCCAGCACAGTGCTTGGCTAGCTGGGGAGTTTCCAGCTCTGTTTCCAGTATCTGATCACCCTGGGGCAGATGGGAGAGTGGAAGGAGAGACTCCCTAAGGGCTCTGTTTCTTTCCCATTTTTTGCCTGTGATCTTTAGTTACGTACCCACTCCAGCCTCTTATTATTTAAGAGTTTTTAGGAAAGACGTGGAAGCAAGTAGAAAACAACCTGCTGATAAAATATGCAGATAGCCCAGAGAGGGGAAGCAGGAGATAATAAAGAGTACATAGTAGGCCCCAGGGGTAAATCTCTACAGGGTGACTCAGTGGAAAAGAGCAAGGGATCCAGGCTGCCCCTCCAGATCAGGGGAAGAGTCATTCTCCTGAGGGATACAGTGGATGCTGCTAACCAGGACATCCCACAGCAGGTCCCCTCGGCAGCGAGGATGATTCACTGTGGAGCAAACTTCCGAGGGAATCGGGGGATGCTCCATTGCTCAGTAACCTCAAAGCCAGAAGGATGGCTTTGCTGGAAGACGTTCAGCAATGCAAGAACAACCAGGTGAAATTCTTCAGCGTTGCTAAACACAGCAGATGATGTGTTAGAATAACCTATGGTGGCTTTACATTCCATTTAGTGCCGTTCATCTTTTCTATTACGGACCAGAAGCTTGTGAAAGCAGGTCTTGCTGTTTGCCTGTCTGTCTGTCACAGCCATTCCAGCTCCAGCTCTTTTCTGGCCACTCCAATCTCTTCTCCTTACCACTAGCTCTTGCTGCTGGAAGGGGAGGACAGCTTGCTCTTTTCTGAGCATTGTATCGTGCTTTGCTCCTCATTTTCAGAGGTCTTCCCTTCCAGCTTCTGCTTGAGTCCCTTCACTCCTGCCCTGTATCAGCTTTTCCATGCCTCTTGGTCCTCTGTGGTTTTCTCCCGTGGTCCTCCTTGCCTTTCATCTGAAGCTGCTGATAAATCCTGGTCCAGTCTTCGGGGTGTCGGAGTCAGGACCGTGTCAGCTCAGCTGTGTGCTGAGGCAGGACTGGGCTTGTGATTCAAGAAGGGGGAAATGGCTGCGTCAAACCAGTTCTTGGTTTGGCCCAAGCCCCTTTCTTTTTGTTGCTGGAGGCATTGGCTTTGAGAGGTGAATGCAGGGCTGTTTAATTTCCATGGTAATTGCACTTGACTGAGAAACATGCAGGTCTGGGACTGGGATTGTGTGGCCTCTGCTGCCAGCAGAAGGTGATGGACCTTTGCCTGTCACCAGAAGAGCCTTTCCCAAGACACTCTCCCTGCAGCACAGCAGGAGAAAAGTGACACCTCTGAAATCCGACAACATTTTTTCTGTGGCTCAAACAGGCAGGAAA